CTCTCTCTCTCTCTCTCTCTCTCTCTCTCTCTCTCTCTTCGCCGACCGGGTTATCGATTTTTCTTGGGGCCACCCACTGGGTCTTTAGGGCCCAGGGCCCAGTCCTTTCCAACGCCCCCACCCCCATGTAGGTCCAAAATAACCACTAAATCTCCATTAAAAAGCTATACCTATTGAACTCCCCTAAATTCTGCTAATTATTGCCTATTTTACACTTCTGTCACCCGGCTCTTCAATGCGTAAAAGTAAGTGTTTTTATTGGTCGGTTAGTCTTTAGTCAGGAAGTCTGTTAAAACAAAAAAAAAACTAAAAAAACCCATTCCACAGAGCACTTTATTAAAAGCAGATGCCAAAAGACCACAACATAAAAAACCCACTCAGAAAAACGGAAAAGACGCCTAAATTTGGGCAGAAAAAGCAAAAAGAACCCTACACAACGCCACAGAATCCATCGGTCGACCAAAATAGATTTAACCACCCCAGATTTGACCACTATAGTTAAATTCAACAGCTCATGGTTAAATTTTCCCCACCCAATTCAGAAAATTTAACCGTTTGTTGAAGTGGTTTGAAATTATGGCTCGTCGGCGGGCTCCGTCTGGCTGGGCGTCGCGAGGGCGGCCAGGGATGGCGCTGGCGTTCCGGGTTCCGGGCGGCCATTGGGAGGCCACATTGGGAGTAGTTGACACAGTGTCGGGCCGTGTTTCTCGGTGTCTCTTTTACCGAGTTTCCTCCCCTGTCTTGGCCTCCCAATGGCCGCCCTGGACCCGGAACGCCAGCGCCATCCCTGGCCGCCCTCGTGACGCCCAGCCAGACGGAGCCCGCCGACGAGCCATGCCACGCCCCGCCGACCACATAGAAAAGCCCTGCCGAGACTCGAACGGCAGTCTTCCGAAAAACCCTTTGAGAGCACTGTATACCGCGCTGTTGGAGAAATACTCTGTTGCACGAGGCGCACCTGCCGGCATGGTAACGCCCACCGGCACGGCTGCTGGCGCTGCTGCTGCACTTTATAAAGTGTATATAAAAGAGTAAGAGACACAGTACGAAACCGGGCCACAACACAGAGGAAGATTAAAAAAAACCACGATACTAGTAGTCGTTGTAGAGACCCCACAAAATGGTGCGTCCAGTTGGTGCCACCCCACTGGCCATGGGTCAAAAAATAAAGGTAATATTTACATACAGACAATTTAAAAACCCAGCGCAACGCTTTAGCTGCTGGTAGCCTTTCACCACTCCTCCTCTAGAGGTGGAGAAAGGAAAAAACACATGAAAGGGCTTAGGCGTAGGCTCAGGCTTATAGAGGACAAGCCAAAGTTTAAGCTGAGCACGAAATACACCATAAAATACCAACAAAATAATGGCTTGTGAGTCTGTGCTCTGAAAGACGATTTAGATACGGATTTCGCGTTTTCGGAGAACGGAAGGTCTCTCTCTCTCTCTCTCTCTCTCTATCGCTCTCGCTCTCTCTCTCTCTATCTCGCAATCTCTATCCCTCTCTCACTCTCCCTCTCGATCTCTTTCTCATTCTCTCTCTCTCTTTCTCTCTCACTCTCTCTCACTTCTTCTCTCTCTCTCTCTCTCTCTCTCGTCACTTTGTAAACCCGGCCTAAAGAAATTATTATAACCGGCTTTTGTTCCTAGCTTTAGGCCAGGTCCTCGGTTTTTATTTTTATTTTTTACTTTAAAAAATGGCGCAAGAAAAAAGCGACTCGCCTATTCCTTGGGAAAACATAAGCCCAACTGAAAGTGACCAAAAAATGGACCAGTAAGCCTCAGCTCCAAAAAAAAGAAAATGAGGAAAATGGAGCAAAAAGAGGCATGGCCCGACAAAAAAAAACTAAAGGCGAAGCTGGTCCCAAACGTTTCAAAGCTGTATTTTTGATCAGGGGCTGAACGTCGTCAAGAAGCGAAAGAACAACAACGACTCGCAGAAGATGGGGGCCAAAAGCGGGAAAAAGGCCATTGCCAGAAGTTAGTAGAAGCAGCAAAACGGATATCTCAAAGCCGTTGCGAAGAACGAGATAAGACGACGACTTCAAGCAGTTCAAGGATATATCCTAAACGCCAAGCTCAAGTCGTCCAAACCAACTTGACAATTGACGTCCAGAAGCGAGTATATCACGAAGGAGTGTTCACTTGAAAGCCAGGTTTGCTAGGCTGTCTTCAAAAGCTATGTCGAGGCGAAGAAATTCGAGCCGTTCAGCAAGAACATACTGAGGAACTGGTCTGAAAAGAACTAACGGCTTCCGGACGTTTTGCAAAATCACACCGACAAGATCTGATCCCACTGCAGAAAGCCCTGATCTACATGGCCTGATCGTCTACTTCCTGCGTTCCCCGACATCTGGCTTCTACGATTGCTGACTGCTTTTTTCGTTTCTTGATGTAATAAAATAATTTGTTAAGTTACGGTACCTTACGTGTTACCTGTAAATGCACCGGAATGCATGAATAAGACCAAAACCAGGGTTGAAAAACCGCTTCGCGGCTTTTCAACCCTGGCCCCGTCCAGGACCTGTGAAAGTCCTTAATTTGCATGTTTCTTCCTGAATTTTAGCAAGAAAAAAGTGAAAAACGGCTCCTCTGTCCCTTTATATAGGCTCTTCCAACTTCCGGCGTATGGTAATTTCCCCTAACAAACAGGGTTTTACAAAAACCTATTTTTAATAGCGAAAACCGCAATTTTTCAAAATTTTTATGTGTGTGCAGTCGATTCCGGACCATTCTAAACCTATTGTCGTTTCTTCCCTATCCAAAAAACCCTTCCCCGAGGCTGTAGGAGCGGAACATCCTAACGGAAGTGCATGCCAAATATACACACACACACACACAAACACTATTTTTTTATATATAGTAGGATCAGGGCTTTTTGTTGGAGTTAGTCTTATAGACAAACGAAAGAGGTGAAGGAAATTGAATTTAAGGTCCCGAGGAGGGCAGGCTAGCAGAGGCCCTTTAGGATGTCGTTAGGTCCTGCCTTGTGGAGAGCGTGTGAGTGGGAGATCGGGCAGGTTTGGTCACGGGTGCCGTGGAGGAAGAGGACGGGGACGCCGACACGTTGAATCTTGTCGTACCTAGAGACAAGGTATGCGAGCGAGAGAGAGAGAGAGAGAGAGAGAGAGAGAGAGAGGGGGGGAGAGAGAGAGAGAGAGGGAGGGAGAGGGAAAGAGAGAAACCCTACGTCGGGAACACGTCGCAGAACCGCGTCTCCGGCGCCTGGGGTGCCCCCTTGAGCAGTCGGAGCCCAGAAGCGAACGGGCAGATCAGCGCCACCCCGGCGAGCGCGTCCGGATGCCGCGCGGCCAGGTCGGTGGAGACGGCCGTGCCGATGCTGAACCCGATCAGGACGATCTGAGGGCAAATTGTAAATGGTGTGCAGCTACAATACCTTCTTTTCCGGCTGTTCGGCACGTATCAAGTCGTACGCGGCGCGAACGTCGGCGTACGCGTTCTTCTCGCCGGGCGTGCCGCGACTGCAACCGAATCTGGAAAGATCGATAAGCGGGTTAAAATAAATTCCGTGATCTACCCCGAGTAGTCGTAGGCGTAGACCTCAACTTGGAGCAGGTCGGCCATCGTCTAAGAAAGATCATCAACTCGAAAGATAGCTCGGGAAGTTGATACCTGAACATTTGCCATGTTCGGGTAGCAGAAGAGGCCGATGTCCGAGCTGTTCGGCTGCGAGAAGAGGACCACCTGGGAGCAGAGATTCTTTAGGAAAGGGCAGGCTAGCAGAGATTCTTTAGGAAAGGCAGGCTAGCAGAGATTCTTTAGGACGCGAAACCAGTACCACATTCGCGTTATGGTCAAAACGCGGATCCGGAGCGGGCCGGGCCCGGACGACGACGATCCGATTGCCGCGCGACGTCTTCGGGGCGTACGCGTCGAGGTTGCGCATCAGCTCCTAAAGGGGGTGGGACAGTGACTTTAAGGTTTTCAGCACCAACCTGTCGGAAGGTCAGATGGGTGGTGTTAGGCGGCGGGGTCAAGAAGAACGGCTCGTCTTTTACCTGAAAGTAGGGATAGAGAGAGAGAGAGAGAGAGAGAGAGAGAGAGAGAGAGAGAGAGGAGAGAGAGCTAAATAGCGTTACCTTTGAGACGTTTTTGCACACGCTGCCGTCGACCCGTTCCAGCATGTAGTGGCGGCCGCGGGGCGGCGGATGGAAGGCCAGCTTCCGCACCATACAGGAGGGAAAAGGAGGGCACAGCACCCAGCAGAGGCCACCGAGCAGCTGGAAGAATATGGATTAAGCCTAAGCCTAAGCCTAAGCCTAATCTAAGCCTAAGCCTAAGCCTAAGCCTAAGCCTAAGCCTAAGCCTAAGCCAAAGCCTAAGCCTAACCTAAGCCTAAGCCTAAGCCTAAGCCTAAGCCTAATCTAAGCCTAAGCCTAAGCCTAAGCCTTACCTTCCAGATCGTAATCTGCGGCGGAGGGTCGATACCGTCGTCGTCGGCCCGCTGCTTGTCATGCTGAAAAAAGTAATAAAAAACACACAAAAATATAGCCGAAAAAAGCCAGAAAACTCTAACCGTCGAATCAGCACCGGTCATTCCACGAAACGAATAGCCCACGCACGAAAAGTAAAAGTGCTAGAGTTGATAAAAAAGGGAGGCAAGCAAATAATACGAAAAATGGGGACCCTGGCGAGCTGTTTGAGAGCCTGGTGGTGACCGGAAATTTGTGCATGGTTATGCAAATTAAATTAGGATAATTTTATCGTTTTTCGCTCACGATCTCTCTCACTCTCTCGCTCTCTCTCTTCGATTCGGCGCCAAAGTTCTATCTTTCGACATCCAGAAAACTAAAAAAAAACAATAAGAAAGGCCCGCATTATAGAATCAACAGCCCTCGACATTAACCCGGCCCAAATGCCAAAAAAACTTGTTTTAATGCATATTAACAAGATAACTTTTTGTATATAAGTAAGCTTTAGGTCAGTAGCACCTGCAAAATATGACCCAAATTATTGTCTTTTCCTGCCTGTTGTTCAGCTTCATGGCCGTCGCCGCCGGCTGCAAGGGCGAAGGGGTATGGTAACTTACTACAGCTTAAATCTCTGGTTTTATGATACCGTAGCTACCTTAGTGCCAAAGTAGCTTAAAATCGACATTTATAAGAATTTTCAGTGCCTAGCATTGCCGTGCAAGAGGTCAACAAGTGACTGCGTCAAGGGCAGCTACTGCAAGGATCAGCGGTGTCAGGTATTCTCTCTCCCTCTCTACCTCTATCTCTGTCTCCCTCTCCCTATCTCACTACACATCCTTTTAGGTACTTCCCGACGGCGCATGCGTCCGTGATGAAGACTGCCCTAGCGGCAAGTGCGAACCGATCGCCTGCGGTCCACGGGATGCTCTTAACCAATGTCTGTCACCAACGAAGGGCTTGAAGTTAATGTCGGAGTCCAAGTCTATGGTAGGGCTTCGTTTAGGGCCAGCAGAGATAATTTTCACGCAAAGGACATGCTAGCAAAGATCATTGTACTATTTCAGTGCCGCAAGCTCAAGTTGAAGGCCCCGCAGGCGTGCAACGTCAACTCGGACTGCTCGAAGGGGGACTACTGCCACATCAAGGAGAATGGTGATCGGCTGTGCACGGTAGGTGACAGGATCGGTAAGCCGAAACCTAAGCCTAAGCCTAAACTTAAGCCTAATCCTAAGCCTAAGCTTAAGCCTAAGCCTAAGCCTGAGCCTAAGCCTGAGCATCAGCCTAATCCCGAGCGTAAGCCTCAGCCTATGTCTAGCCTAAGCCTAAGCCTCCTAAGCTTCCTAAGCCTCCTAAGCCTCCTCAGCCTCCTAAGCCTCCTAAGCCTAAGCCGAAGCCTATCCCAATTTCATTCCAGCATCTCCCTGATGGCCACTGCACCGGAGACCGCGACTGCCCCTCCAGCATCTGCCTCCAGGAGCCAAAGTTCTGTTTGGGGAGGAACTGCTTTGGCACGTGCCATTAAGAGAGTCGAGCCACAATGATAAATGTATTGGAAAAAAATAGATTTCAAGCGGAAGTTAGGTACGGTATCGAGTCTGCAAAATAGAAAACCACCCGGAAACGTCCAATATTTATCTCAAACGTCATCCTCGCTGCCGGATAGCCGACTCAAGTTGCCGACACACCCCCTCCAGCTCGCCGTAAGGGATATCGCAAATATGGCTCAATTTCCCGCGGGTTTGCGGGCAATCCTCGATCGTCAGGCAGAGCTGTGACTGAAAAATGGCAAAATTGGGCAGGAAAAATGAATGCGTGGTTTGGAGCGTAGCGCTTGTGGTCATAATTTTTGGCTATCTATAGCAACCGTTTTGGGTCGGAAACCGTTCCAAATGAATGAGTGCACCGAGTTAGACAAATTCAAGCATTTCAAATATGTTTGAGCCCAAGCTTGAGTCCAAGCCTAAGCTCAGGCCTAAGTCTAAGCCTAAGCTTAAACCTAAACGAAGTTCAAGCTTAAGCCTAAGCCTAAGCCAAAGCTAAGTTAGTGCTCCTGACAAAATTCGAAAAATCTTCTTTGCTCACCTCATCCTTCGGAATGGCCGGAAACATCGGCTCGGCATCGATGAGCAGCAGCGTCAAACACGCAAAAATCCAGAAGATCAGCTTCATCCTGGCGATAGGTTTTGGAATGGATTTTCAAATTCTGCTTTTCAACTCTGAAATCGCGAAGTAGTCGCTGTTTCGGAAATTTCGGCGGATCGGGCGCTTTTGAAGTGGTTCTTTGAAAATGCCGGCTAGAATCTAGGCAAAATTTCCCGAGAGCGAGCTATTTTCACCACCATTGTCAGAATCTACATGCAAAATTACGTCGAAATTGGCTTTCGAAATAATTTTTAGCAAGCCGGAGAGTGGAGAGACAGCGAGAGAAACATGTTTTAGGCCGAAAATCGACCAATTCGGTCAAAGATCAAAGATTCTTCCTTGCCCGGAAGAAATAAGTTCCGACAAGGCCAAAGGTTTTCAGGGATCAAAGATCTTGCGGGAGAGAGCAGGGAAAAGGTATAAAAATTCTGTACCAAAGTAAGGCGGAAGCGCCCGGAAAATCGAAAAAAATGCGTTTCTTCGTGCTCCTGATGCTGATCTTGCCCTCAGTTCTTGGGCTTTCTGGTGGTGGTGGGCATGGCGGGAAAGGGGTAGGTCTCTCTCTCTCTCTCTCTCTCTCTCTCTCTCTCTCTCTTTCTCTCTCTCTCTCCCTCTTTCTCTCACGATTTAGAAACTTTTAAAGGGATCAGGACATCTCGTCCATTTCCAGGTGGGCCCCAGTGGTCGTGGAAAACCCTGTAAGGTGGATGCCGACTGCCCGAAGCTAGCTCACCCGCCCTACTTCACTTGCGTCAAGCGTGGTTCCGGCGGCGGAAAATGCAAACAGAATTGGTACCCGTGACCGCAAGAAATCGCGATAATAAAGTACGTCCAGACAAAAAAAGACAAGAGAGCGGGCGCGTGAGAGAGAGAGAGTATCCTCCATAGTATACACTATAGTCTTCCTCGACTTCCAAACATTTGTGATTATTCAGCTATCAAAAAAGCGGTCGACACGAGGTGCTGTTTATAAGAAGTCCAGTTTCTCCATACAAAACTAGGTCGGAATATGCTTCTAAATATTCTTGGAAAGCGAGAGAGTAGGGAGGCAGCGAGAGTAGGCCAAAAAGCAAAGATTTCGGAAGCTTCACGAAAAGAAATAAGTTCCAAAAGGGTTAAAGGTTTGGTAGGAGGGCCAAAGATCTGGAAGGGAGCGGGGAAAAGGTATAAAAATTCAGTTTCCGGAACCACGCCAAAAAATGCGTTTCTTCGTGGGCCTGTTGCTGATTTTGCCGTCAGTTTTCGGGTTTTATGGTGGTGGTGGACATGGCGGGAAAGGGGTAGGTCTCTCTCTCTCTCTCTCTCTCTCTCTCTCTCTCTCTCTCTACATGATAGGGCGCACTAATTTTAAGCCCATTTCCAGGTGTCCCCCAGTGGCCCGGGCCCACGATGCAATGTGGACGCTGACTGCCCCAGGACGCTTGTGCCGCCAGGTTTCAGCTGCGTGAAGCGAGGTGTCGGGACCGGGTATTGCCAACGGAATTGGTATCCGAGACCGGGATAAAGGGCAAAAAGATTAAAATAAAATATGAAAGATGAGTCCACGAAGAAAAACAGCGAGAGAGAGAGAGAGAGAGAGAGAGAGAGAGAAAGTCAGAGTGAGAGAGAGAGCGAGAGAGAGAGAGAGTCAGAGTGAGAGAGAGAGCGAGAGACAGAGAGATAAAGAGAGGGTTAGCGACGGAGACAGAAAAATAAATGTCGTGATCAGTTTTGAGAAAATAAATTCACTTATAAAAACGATAGAGCCAGAGAGAGAGAGGGAGAGAGAGGCGAGAAAGAGAGTGAAACAGAAAACGAGGCCTTTAGTGATCTTGCCCTTCCAAACCTTGTTGACTATTCAACGACCAAAAAAATCGGCCGGAATGAGGTACTGCTTATATAAAAAGCCCAGTTTTGACTGCCGCAGGTATCCAAAATGCATCTCGTGCTCCTCATCCTGCTTGCATTCCCGGCAGTGTCGGCATATGTGGTAATACTCCCCCCGTTATAATCGCATTTTTTGACGGGATCATGCCACTCCGATGCCGATTGCCCCCCAGGCCAGCATTGCGACATTTGGAATTGGATGGGGGTCCACCATTGTCTCCAAGATGATCGGCATACCGATTCGGTGAGTTAATAGTATGCCGGAAACGGAATATGTGCTTGTACACCCTAGAAGCGTACTATACGGCGTACCATGCATTTGCATCAGCTTTTAACCCACCGCCTAACCTATGCCTAAGCGTTAGCAAACGCCTAAGCCTAGGTTTAAGCCCAAGCCTAAGCCCAAGCTTGAGTCAAAGCCTAAGCCTAAGCCTAAGCCTAAGCCTAAGCCTAAGCCTAAGCCTAAGCCTAAGCCTCTCCTAGGCTTATGCCAGAGCATATGGCTAAACCTCAACTAAGCCTAAGCATAAGACCAAGCCTAAGCTAAGCCTATGCCTAAACGTCAGCCGAAGCCGAAGCTCGAAAATCTAAATTCTCTTTTAGAACAAAGTCTCCAAGGGTGGTGATTGCAAGTCGGATGCTGACTGCCCAGAGCCGCATTCAAAGTGCGTTTGGGACCCCAGAGTCGGGCATCACAGCTGCGTTCGAGACGTCTCCAAGTTGAAACCTTGAGTTTGATGATGGAATAAAATGTCGGAATCGATTTAACTGAAGCTCTCGAAGCGTAGCTAGAGAGAGAGAGAGAGAGAGAGAGAGAGAGAGAGAGAGAGAGCGAGAGAGAGCGGGAGAGTGAGAGAGAGAAAGCGGAAGAGCGACAGACAGAGAGAGAGAGAGATTGGATCGGGTCGGGTATTCAACAGATTCATCGGTATTCATTTTTCGCAGATCGGGTATTCAACAAACTCACGTATGCAACGACCAAAAAATCGGTCCGCGCTGCGGGATTTTGGCTATATAACTGGAGATCAGGCAAAGCTGTCCAAAATGCGCTTCTTCCTCCTCATTCTTCTTATCGTCGCGATGGCGGTCGAGATTTGCTCCGCGGTATTTTTGTCTGCCGTCGACCTGAACTACGATCTACACTTTTTAGCTTTCTTGCCAGACCGACGACGACTGTGCCGGGATTTGGATTCATCCGCCCTTCACCTGCATCAAGAATGGGGCGGGGGCTGGTTACTGTGGACATCTCGAGCCTTGAACGTCTTGCAAATAAATCGTGTTGTGGAGCTGATAAGGCGCAGAAAAATCTTCTCTATCATTTTGTCTCTATATCTCTCGCTCTCGCTTTCTCCCCTTTTTAAAATATATCTAAAACATCGATTTCGGCCACAACAGGCCGAATTTGTCTACGAAAATGTCGACTTTTTCCTTTTTTTTAGAGTTTTAGGTGGTGGTCTAGCTGAATTCAAACTAAAGATTACTAAAAACACTATTAGAACACTGTCTATTCACTTCCTAGGCGTTGCGGACTTATAAAAAAAGTTCGCCCCCCCCGGTAATGCGAAAGAACCTCAAAAGTTTTTGGAAAGTGAATTTGAATAAAAAATGGGAGAAACCCAGTTTCGTCTTGATTCCGACAAAGAACTGCTGACCGCCAGACTATGAATAATGGAAAGGATGCCAGTTGAAGGACTCCTTTTTCTGCTCCTTTCTTCCAGCACGATGAGGGCGATTTTCGGGTGGTTACTACTTTGTGGACTGTTGTCGGTGGCGATGGGGTACGGTAGGAGCGTTGGTTTTATGCTCTCATTTAGAGCGAGGGCGAGGAGAGAGAGAGAGACAGAGAAAGAGAGTGCGAGAGAGAGAGAGGGAGGGAGAGAGAGAGCGAGAGAGCCCATTCCAGACATGCATGCAATCGAGACGGCGACTGCATGTGGGATTACTGTGACCTGAAGAACCACGTCTGCAAGGATTGGATGCATAAGCGCTCTGCACCCACGTGAGTATCTCACTCTCTCTCTCTCGCTGTTCGTTTCTCTCTCGCTCAAATTCTATGATTCCAGTGATGGGGAGCACCACATTGGAAAACGGCACGACCGCCATCTCGGGAAGCGCGAAATCAATGAGGAGGAATCCAAAGAATGAATATTTTGAAAGACATGTATTCCTGGCTTAAACCCAAGCCTAAGCTAAGCCAGAACCTAAGCCTAATGCAATCCTGAGCTTAAGTCTGACCCTAAGCTAAGCCTAAACCTCAGCCTACGCCCAACCGGCCGATCGCGTCAAAAATAAAGACTTTATTGGCGGAAACATGTTCATTTTATTGAGCACAGAAATGGCAAAAAAAAATTGTAGTCGACGGATTTTCTTAGCGGATCACGCACCATCCATACAGACAGGTTTCGTACATCCAACAATCTCGTTTGTGGGTGCAGTTGGTCAGCTGAAATAGAGTACGTTCTGTGGGTTTTTAGGCATATTTTTCAAGGTAGAAGCAAGGCGGTAAAAGCTGCTTGACAAGGGATAGGAATTTTATGTGCCGGGTGTCCCAATAAAAAATATTATCTCTAACTTTATTTTATCTAGAAGAACTATCTAAAAATTTTCAAAAAGACAAAATTTTTTTCAAAAACATTGGCCCTCTGGGTGAAAGATCGATAGTTTAATATTTTGTATTAAAAATTTGTAAGGTTTTGCGTTGAAGAACAGCAAACCCCCCCTCCCCCCCCCCCGATAATGTGAAAGAACCAACCACGCACGGACTTACCTCTTTATCCTTTATGCCATCGTAGCCGTAGTCTGGCTTATACCCTGCGTTCCTGGCCTGAGACTGGAAGATCAGGAGAGAGCCGACGACAAGGAGAAGGAGGAGGTGGAGTAGGGTAGCCGGGCGCATGGTAGAAAGTGGAGTTTCTGGACAAACCGCCTAGACGCCGGTTTTTATGCTGGCAAATGGGCAGTGATGAATCAGAATTTAGGAAAGAGAGAGAGAGAGAGAGAGAGAGAGAGAGAGAGAGAGAGAGAGAGCGAGATGGAGAGAGAGTGAACGAGATGGAGAGTGAGAATGACAAATTTCCGGCATTGTTGTCCGTGTTTTTGGTCTGTCTAACCCGTCTATTCAAAAATATGGACACGAATTTGTCATTTTCTATTCAAATCTCCTGATTTCAAGTCGAAAACCATTGAAACCTGACGCCAATCACGCGGCACAGAAAGTTTCTCAGTTTTCTCAAGCCGGCCCGTCAAAATAAACGAACGATTCACGTCCACGGAAAAACAGCCGCATCTCATTTTCAACATTTTTTGGTGTAAACGTTCTTTGTAGGATAGACGGAAAGAAGATTTTTGTGCATTACGACATCTAATCGGAAACTCCAAAAAGGAATTTCGGCAGAAGCAAGCTCACCATTTTGCCCTTTTTGACTTTTTACAATTAGTCAGCTAAAAGGATCACGACGGCTGAAGCGCCAATTAACGTAGGGGGTTATCGATACCCTTTTAAAAAGCTGGTACCTTCGTACAGCCGATGTTTGGCTTGAAACATCCACTTTCGGCAATAGCACCGTAGCCGCCAACATCGTCGTGAAATGCGTGCATTTCGATGGAAAGTCGCTGGGTGCTGATTTGAGTGAGCGAGGCGTGGGCATACTATGAAAGCCCCAAAAAAAGTCGGTTGGCCCAAAATCCTCGACAATGAAATCGGCCGTGCTCCTTCTGCTTCCGCTCGCTGCTGCCTTGATCGATCCGGATTTGGTAATAATTATATTGCGGTTTTTCGCATTATAGGGGGGGAGGGCAAGGCATTACGACATGTAATCGCCGCGCGCTCAAAATATCGCTTCCGCCTCAAGAACTTTTCGGTTTTTATCGAATATTCCACGTTTTTCGCGACGAATTTCCGGGTACTGTTCGGCGGCAACCCTTTTCTTTTTTACCAGTAGGTGTACGCATGCGCAAATTTTCACTTCCGAGCCCCTTTAACCAGGAAAATCCGAACGAGAGAGAGAGAGAGAGAGAGAGAGAGAGAGAGAGAGAGAGAGAGAGAGAGACAGATGCTTGCTCATCCATTGAACTATCAATGGGGCTTACTCTTTATTCCAGGAATGCTGGAAAACCGCCGATTGTCGAAAAGGGCGCTTTGCGGGAAAGCACATGTACTGCGGCGTCTTCGCAAAGAGCGAGGATATCCTATACAATCAATGCACTGTAAGTTTTTCGCTTTCAGTTTCGTTTTGGGCCCAGCAGGCCACTGTTAGCCTGTCTGCCCGTTTGCTAAGAGCAGACACCAAGTGGGATTGGAGGGGCGAGCTAGCAAAGATCATTTGGTCATGTAGGGGCAGGCCAGCAAACACCATTAGGGATTCAGGGGTCAGCTTTATCTGGAGGGCGGCTAAATTTTTTCCCGCGCAAGCCTAGGTCTTTTTCAGATAAATAGCTAAAGCCTTTGCAAATTTCTCAGCATTAAAACGCACAATTTTTCATTGACAATGTCATATTAGGTGAAAAATTTGATTTTTTGGAGCGAACATGATAAAATTTTCTAGTTTTTGCAACATTTTTCAGACTTTTTAAAATTTTTCTGCTTCCGATATAGTCAAAATTTACTAAAAACAAAATTACTACACGACCTGGACCGAGAGGAACAAATTCGGTTCGCAATTTATAATGTCGAAATTTCTTAATGTCAAAATTAATATAACCAATTTTTTCAGAAACTGAAGGAAAACGAATGTATCGATCTTACTGACTGCCCAAGCGAAGACGATACATGCATCCATCGCTATTTCGATAAGCTTCCCGGCAAATGTGCCCCCTGGGGCACACCTGATGATGCGCCTGATGACTATCCCCTTTGATGAAAATGAGCAGCCAATATTGATTTTTGAATTTTTTTGCCTTAAACCTGCGTTTGTTCTACGTTATCATTATATTATATCTTAAGATAATTTTAATGCGCAGAAATAAATAACACGGACGTACCTTAACCTCCTAGGATCCGTACGTCGTAAAAAATGAGAAAAACCAAAAGCCCGCTTTCCCAGCGGCTGCTTGAGAGCGAAAGAACAAATGTGCGTCCAGTTCCATGCCAAATTTGCTGGGTGCTGAATTGAGCATGTGAAATTGCGGGCTGGCAAGTGCTATAAATACCCTTAAAAACAAAGACAGCTACATAACGGAAATTTGCTGCAATGAACTGTGCCCTGTTCCTGCTCTTTCTGATTGGCATTGTAGTCGCTGGCCCAAATCTGGTACGCCATAATGATCAGTAGTACTTATAGATCGTAATGAAACTGATTATAAAACCGGTTAAAATCTCAGCCATTAGCCAAATTTTCGGCATTACAGATGTGTCGAAATGACGCCTACTGCCGGGGCGGACCGTTTGCCGGGCAGCATCTGCACTGTGTCCGGCTCGTTGATAATTCGTTCCGGAAGCTGTGTTTTGTAAGTTTCGTCTCCCTAAAGAATCTCTGCTAGCCTGCCGTGTCCTAAGGAATCTCTGCTAGCCTGCCCTACCTGCCCAAACCACAGATAATTCCAGGAGCTACCGTATGACAGCTGCGTCGACAGCACCGATTGCCCGCCATGGCGTAACCGTTGCAAAAACTATTCGGAGGGACGCCCTGGAAAATGCTACGAGAAATGATACTTTAAATGTTAATAAAGATATTTTAGAAAATTAATTGATTGGCGTATTCAAGGGAGAGAAAAGCAAAAAGCGAGAGTAAGAGAGAGAGAGAAAGCGAGAGCAGACAGACAGACAGACAGACAGACAGAAAAAGACCATAAATCACATTTCGACCAAAATACCGTATGAAAAATGAAGCAGTCGATCGCATATAACGCCGAAAACCACTCAAAATTCAATACCTTTCAGATCCGAAAAATGAAGCCTGTACTCTTATTTGTTACCGTACTCCTTGGATTTGCCGTTTCTGCCCCAAATCCGGTAAGATTGGAAATTTCACTGCTGCGGAAAATCGAAGTTTAAGAACCTAAGTTTTAAAAATTTAGTAACGCTTACGACATAGTTTTCTAAAAATTAGCAAAGGCAAATCTGAAAAAAATTTCTGCATTTTTAGGCTTGTACGAACGACACCTACTGCCGGAGCGGGTGGTACCAGGGCAAGCACTACTACTGTAAGGCGAATGCCGTTGATGTTAAGAAGAGCGTGTGTACGGTAGGGTTTAAAGGGAGAGAGACAGGGCCGGCTAGTAAAGATCTTTTGGGAATTGGGTGGTAGGCTAGCAGAGATTATTTGGGAAACGAAGGGCAGGCTAGCAGAGATCATTTAGGAAAGAAAGGCATGCTAGCAGAGACTATTTTTCAGGCACTGCCCGATAACCTCTGTGTTGACGATAAGGACTGTCTGGTCGCGGGCGATAAGTGCTTCGGATATCTTGAAGGCCAGCCCGGAAACGGTTTCTCGTTGAAATATCGCCCATGGTGACTAAAGCTTAATAAAGATTAAAATCGGCCTGAGAGCGAGAGAGAGCTACAGAGAGAGAGAGAGAGAGAGAGAGAGAGAGAGAGAGAGAGAGAGAGAGAGAGAGAGAGATAAAGCTCTATGTTTTTTTTGCACAGAACACAATCACCGGTCAGCCGGCTGACTAAGGCTCTGAATCACAGACAAAACACGGAAAAACAACCACAAAACGAAAGACACACCTCCCTCCAAAATTTGCGAATTCCGTTCCATTCCGAATCGGGAATTGCGGGAATGAAGTCAGCTTTCCTGCTCCTGCTCTTGGCTACTGTAGCCGTCGCGATACCGCATCCAGGAGACGTTAGTTTTAGCATCGAATCGTATCGTAGCGAATTGTAGGGTACCGTATCGTATCGTATCGTAGGGTATTGTAGCGTATCGTAGCGTATTTTTAGCGTGCAAAGGCGCAACGTAGCGGCCCGTATCATATAGTAACGGGATGCCGCGTATTGCGGCGTACTCTAGCGTAACCGTGCTTCTTTCATATCGTATCGTATCGTAGCGTATTGCAGCATGCGGTAGCGTACAGTAGCGCAGCGTAGCGTACCCTTCCGTATTGTAGCGTAGTGTAGCGACGTGCAGCGAAGTGACTACGTGGCTTACGTGACGTACCTAACGTAGCGCACCGTACCGTTTACGCAAATTCAGGACTGTCTGCACGAGACGGAATGTCGCTCCGACGGAGAGGACGTCTACCACATGCACTGTGGATCCGAGCGGAAATGTCGGGTAGGCGGTGATTAGCAAAAAGTAGGGTACTGGGCTGTTAGCGGGGGGGGGCAGCTAGCCTGAAATTAGCTAGCAAAATTTTACGCGTTTTCGTGAATTTTTATCGTATTTTGAATGGTTTTTAGCGATCAAAAATTCCAAAAACATGCGTGTTCATTTTTTGCAGCTGCTCTATGATGGCGAATGCCTGGATTCCTACGACTGCAACTGGTACGAGGGCTGCTACGACTATTCGGGCCACCAACCCGGAAACTGCGGATATATGAAATGGTCATAAAGCTATGAAAAAAAACTCATTTTTCACGAATTTTCGTTGCTAATGTATTTTTGTGTATTGCTTGTAACGTGCTACCGTAACTATGTCAATTTTTGGGCTGCAAATTTGACGAATCCGATTAAGCTATTCTCTTCCTCAAACAATCTGTAAACTATAAACTACGGCTACAGCCACAGACTAGGGTACAGCCTCAGGCGGTAGTCTACAAACTACAAAATACTTTCCCACAAGGCTGCCCATCAACCTAAAATTCGACTGCATTTTATTGTTAGCTTCGGCTTAGGCATAGGCTTAAGCTTATATTCGGCTTAGGTTTTGTTTTAGGCTTCGGCTTATGCTTATGTTTATGCCTATGCTTAGGTTACGCTTATGCATAGGCTTAGGCTTTGGCTTAGGCTTAGGCACAAGCTGAGGCTCAGGCTTAGGCTCAGGTACGACTTAGGCATGGGCTTAAGTTTATATTAGGCTTAGGTTTTGGTTTAGGCTTGGGCTTAGGTCTATGTTTATGCTTATGCTTCGGTTACGCTTATGCATAGGCTTAGGCTTGGGCGTAGGCTTGGCTTATGCTTCGGCTTAGGATTAGGCTTTGTTCACTGATTATAAACCACATGTAAAGGCTACAAACTACGACTTAATACTGATGACTACAAACTACCAAGTTTCAAGCCAAAGTCCAACGCCCCCGTATTTCCCGATTTGGAAAGATCCCTTTCCAAATTTCCAAATTTCCAATCCCTTTCCGATTTTTCCCTTTTTTTCAAGCAGCCAAATGCCGGGCGCTGCTATTCAGTGCGATTCTATTCTACAAGAACCATAGAATTTCGGCCCTTCAAAAACCAGTTTCCCTACCGTATTCGCTTTATTATGGCTAGTGATTTGCAAGGGGGTTCTGAATCAGCAGTTGGCTATAAAAGGAAGCAGGCTCCCCAATCGGTTTCAAAAGCAACGAAATGAAGACGTTGTTGCTGTTGTTGGTGCTTACCGTATGCATGGCTGCCGAGACGATTCCGGTGAGGTATCCCTCTCTCTCTCTCTCTCTCTCTTTCTTTCTCTCGCCCTCTCTCTCACACGCTCTCTCTCTCTCTCTCTCTCTTTCTCGTTTCAAATCAAAGTTTAGTTCTGCCAGCAGGACAAGGATTGCGACGACTGGCTTAGAGACGGTGCTCACTACTGCAGCCGTGGGCTTTGCGAAGTGGGTTTTAAAATTCATACATTAGTGTGTGAGGGAGAAGGGGAGAGATAGAGTGATTGAGAGAGCGAGTGAGAGAGAGAGAAAGAGAGAGAGAGAGAGAGAGAGAGAGAGAGTTGGCGAGAGGCTGTTTTACCCCCGCTTTAGTCCTTTTACGGCTACGGCTGCAAAACCGACGAAAATTGTGCGTGGTTGAAAGCGTGCGAGGGATACTCGGAAGGACGGCCGGGAAAGTGCAGCTGGTGGACACCGTGGTGATGCTGCCAGATATACTGCCGAGAATAAACGGATTATCAATTACCCTTGACGTAGAGGACATTAAAGGGATGGCGCCAGCAGGTTTTCGGGTTCTCTCCGGCGCTCTCTCTCACTCTCTCTCTCCCTCTCTCTCTCACTCTCTCTCTCTCGCCTCGCTCTCTCTCAGGCCAAAGATCATCTACCGAGAATAATTTTGCCCTAACCTTTGGTCGCACCTGATTTCCTGCCTGAAAAATCTATTGGGTACTCCTTTAAAAGCTTCAACAAGTTGCGGAAGGCAAGGTTCAAAGAATATGAAATTTCTGCTGCTCGCACTTGCCTTCACTTTCCTGCTTTTCTCCGTTCCTGCGATGGGTCTTGGTAGACCCGGTGACTTTGTATGTTTTTGATTCAGAGAGAGAGAGAAAGCGAGACGGAGAGAGAGACGGAGAGAGAGAGGGAGAGAGAGAGAGAGCGAGTGAGAGGACGAGTTTGAGAGAGCGACTTTCAGCCGTGTACGAGCAACGCCTACTGCCGTACCTTCTTCAAACCGCGCTCCTTCTGCATGCCCCTAGAGCCAACACGTCCGGTTTGCGCGGTAAGGTTTCAAGGAAACGCAATATTAAAGGGAGAAACAAGATAACCTCAGCCTAAGCCTAAGCCTGACTTCAGCCGAAGCTAAGCCCAAGTTCAGGAGTTCATAGACAACGAATGCAGCCTGGATAGCCATTGTGGACCCGGGGCACGCTGCATTGGAGCCAAGGAATTGGAACGGGGACATTGCTATCTTTATTATTAAGGGAATAAATATGATTTTGCATTGCGTTGAACGAGCCAAGACATCGAGAGAGCGAGAGAGAGAGAAGGAGAAAAAGATAACTAGGGAGAAAGAGAGAGAGAGAGAGAGAGAGAGCGAGAGAGAGAGGCGGAGCTAGGGCGCGAGAGAGAGATTGAGCGAGAGTGAGAGAGAGAGAGTGGGGGAAGATGCGTTGAAAAGAGCCAGCTTGATGCGTCGATTTTAGCGACATAGATCAGCGACAAGTTCTGAATTGTTGTTGCAGAATTTTTGCATCTCAGCGGCACCAGGGGAACAGTTTTCGCCTGCAAAATGAAGCAGCGCGGCGTTGAAAGCCTGTCAGGATCTTCGACGCTCCAGAATGCCAAGATGAAGCCGGTTTTTCTATTGTTGCTCCTCGTTGTCGGCCTCTCATCAGCTGCTATTGTTTTACCAAAATTACCCCTTGCGGTGTCGGTATGTTACTATTTGTGAGCGTGATCCTGTTTCTTCGTCTCCCTCTCGCTCTCTCTCGTCCAAAGTACAACTTTCAGACCTGCCAAGTTGACTCGGATTGTCAGAGTAAGGGTTCTGACCTCTACTGTCAGACTCACTACAACCCGCAGATTGGGAAGCCGGGCGGGCGACGATGCGGGGTACGTTTTCAGCGAGTTCGAGGAGGAGGAGAGCGAGCGAGAGAGAGAGGCAGCGAGAGATAAAGAGCGTGAGAGCGAGCGAGAGAAAGAAAGAGAGACAGAGACAGAGAGAGCGAGACAGATTTTTAGAAACTACTTGAAAGCCAATGCGTTTCGGACGAGCATTGTGGGAAGGGAACAACTGGGGAATGCCAAGACTATGCTGATGGACGCCCTGGATACTGCCTGCCTGTATTTCGTGGCTGACAAACAGCGATTAAGGGAATAAAAATATATGTAAAAGATCTTAAAACAAAGAGAGAGAGGGAGAGCTAGTGAGAGAGGCAGAGACAGACAGACAAAGAGCATAAGTTGCGCCACGTCGCCCATGCTTTCCTCGCAAGATTTTCCCATTGAAAAACAGTCCACGCCGAGCGATTTGCTTGAAAATGAAGCAGGAGGGCCTTGAAATGCTTGTAAAACGGATGGAGCCGTTGAGTTTGGAGAAAATCGCTCCTCTAGCTGCTCCTCCTTGCCGTCGTCGGTTTCTCGTCTGCCAGTACGGTATGTCCCTCTCTCACTCTCTCTCTCGCTCTCTCCCTTGCGTGCTCTCTCTCTCTCTCTCTCTCTCTTCAGTTCTAGGCGGATTCAGATTGTCAGGTGCGGCTTGGGCTGGTTTTTATGGCCACTGCAGCACCCTACTCGAGACCATTATTCCCTTGATATTTGAGTGGCTCTCTATGTCTGTTCTCTCCCCATCGGCTACGCCACGACACGCTCTCCCTGTTTTTAAGTGCCTATTTTTCTTGCGTAAGTGATTCTTCTTTTCACTTTTCCTCGCTCATCCACATTACAAGGCGTGTACGAATAAATCAACGTTTTTGGATTTACGGAGTGTAATTTATCGTTTGATCACGATCTCTATGCTGAGATCGATTAACTCCAGGCAATTTGGAGCGCGTAAGCGTTTGTTTTTGCCGGATTTTCATAGCGCAAGCTAGAAGCAAAAGGCTTTATCCCCCATTTAAATTGAGTAATCGAATAGGGAACGTGACGCGGGCCGAATTCACGATTATTGGGGAAGCGGGTCTTCTGTGTTATCAGTGGTGTCTCGTGGCCAAACGCGTCGAAAATTGTCAGCGACCAGTGGAACTCTCCTCTAAAATATCCTGATAGTGCGACAGAGGAAGATAAACGAACTTTACACAAGAATTTAGCGTGAAAACTCGTGGTTAAGTCATTAGTCATTAGTCCGGTCTGCCAATCTGACACGGCCCGGATTCGACATCCGGCACGGGCAGACTTTTTGCTTTTTGATGCAAACGCCCAGAATCGGGTATCTGGCGGGAAGGGATATTCCCCCTTAAAATTCGCAAGTGAAGCCAATTTTACGACGGGTAGGTACCGTACCCGATCGATTTGTCGTAGCTGGGCGTAGACCTGATGCCGCGACGCATAGTTCTGGGCCACAACCAAATTGGCAAACGTCGAGCCGTAGGCCGGACGGCGTCTTAAACCATCGGTCCCGGGCCAGCGATCGTGGAATGACAAATCGATGCGGTACACCTGACAAGTGAATCCTTCATTCAGAATCTCGACATTTCAGAAAGTCCACAGGGTGGACAAAAAGGCCCTCCCATAGTTTGCACCGAGAGAGAGAGGGAGAGAGAGAGCGAGAGAGAGAGAGGGAGAGTGAGAGCGTAATAGAGAGACAGAGAGAGAGAGTGAGAGCGTAATAGAGAGACAGAGAGAGTGAGAGAATGAGAGCGTAATAGAGAGAGAGATAGAGAAAGATAGAGAAAGAGAGAGAACGGGTGAGAGAGGGAGAGAGAGGGAGAGAGAGAGAGAGAGAGAGAGAGAGAGAGAGAGAGAGAATGGAAAGAGAGACCTGTATGCCATCTCCCGCGATCGTGTCATCCATCATTTCGGCCACTTCTTCCAACATCCTCTCATATTCGAACCTTAGATTCGGGAGAGGCGGGAATTTTAGCACCCATCTGCCTCCACCCGGGACCTCCTCCCGAATTTGGAGGATACTGGTGTCGAGGATGACGAGACGACGTCCATCCGCCGTCCCGGGTCTCGGCTGTAGTTCATAATCCATGGATACATTTGAGGGTAGCTTACCGCTTTGAGGAAATGTTCGAGAAGTTGTTTAGTGATACGAAGTGATCGGATGGCTGAGGTTTCTCTTTTATAGCATTGCATCAGATGGACCACTGGGCAGTTGATTAACTGGAAATCGGGGTGTGGACGGAGAGTGAGTGAAACCCAGATAAACACATTTTCAACAAGAATTGGGCGTTGGAACGCGTAGCCAAGTGGTTAGTGACTTCAGCTGCCAATCTGGGGACCCGGGTTCGCCTCCCGGCCGGGGAAATTTTTGCTTCTTGCCTTAAGCGCTTATAATCGGCCAAATAGCCAGGAAGTAAAGCCTGGCAGTTAAAATCGAATTTCGAGCCGGTTAAGCGATGTTATCAGCGTCCGTGTTCAATTTCTGGCCGCAGCCGGTTTAGTGTTTGCAGCGAGAGAGAGAGAGAGAGCGAGAGAGAGAGAGAGAGAGAGTGAGAGGAGGAGAGAAATGGTACCTTGTTGAATGCATCCGAATGAACATCAAGATAATCTTCGGGCCGTGGTCCTCCACCAAGTACACTGATCACTTCCGGCAGAAGGCCGGACGGCACCCAGGCATCTAGTCGTAAATATCTGTAAAAGCAATAAAGCAATATGTATTTTTGCCAGGCTTTGTAATGCAATATTACAAATCGGGGCCATCTACTACTAATACTTGCGTATCATAGGGATGTTATCATAATGTTGTGTCGAAAATCATAATGTCGAAATTTCAGAATGTCGAAATTTCATAAAGTCGAAATGTTTTTGCTTGGGATTCCGGGGGTTTCACTGGGAATAATAGCCTATGTAAATTTCGACATTATGATTTTGGACATTTTGAAAATCGTGAGAATCTCAAAATTTTAATAAACTGGATGCACATACTTAAAGACCTGTCCAACCGTTTTTGGTCATTTCGGTGCTTCCTGCCCACCCCACTTCCGCGAAATTTTTAACTTTGCCCAATTTCTTGTTGGCTAAATGTCGAAAAGAATTTAAAAAAAATGGTGGCCGGTTCCAGACCAAGCACAGCCCACAACCACAAATCCTGCGACCTCTCATCTCGATATTGACCGGCACGGGGTCCAAATTGCGGGAAGACGGTCAGAGAGGCGGGGCGGACGGCAAGGTGCAGTTGCTTCAGCCAGTCGGGTGGCTATAAAATCGGCAAGTATCGCATCAATATTCGAGTGGGATATTTTCAGTATCCGCCCGTCATAATGCCGCGTTTTCAGAATGACGCTTTCTCAAAATACAGCATTTTCAACATGCCGTTTTTAAATAATGCCGCTTTTTCAGAATGATACAATGTACCATGCGGCGCGGCCGCGTTGCGGTCGCATCTGGCTGTTTGCCAGGAATCGACGCAGAGGGCCGTGGACCACATTTCGGAGCCTCATTAAAAAAGGGACTAGTGGGCTCACCCTTTTCGGCCGCGTAACCAGTAGGAAATCAGCTGAAGGCGTACCTGCACTTGTAGTCCGACTTCGAGGGTCAGCTCAGCGCAGCGGAAATGGCTCAGCAGTTTTTCGATGATGCGTAGCTGGGGTGCTATTCCGGCGTCCATTCTATCTAGTAATATTAAAAGTTTTTTTTGGGCGAGCTGAATATGATTAGTCGGATATGTCTCTCTTTCTCTCTCGCTCGCTCTCTCGCTCTCTCTCGCTCTCTCTCTGTCGCTCTTCCTCTCACTCCCTCTCCTACTCTCTCTCTCTATCTCCTTTGCTGTCAGATTCTAAGCGTCTGTGACGAAAGCAAAAAGTTGGCGGCCGAGTGTCGAACCCAGGTCCTCAGCCCCGCATCCGCGGCCGCTAACCACTTGACCGCCGTTGTTGGCGCCGAATACTTTGGACCTATACTCAATTGGACCCCATGAAAATAGCCCTGAAATTACCTGAGGCCCAGTACCGCATGCCATAGCCTTCCGTCGGCTCCGTAAGCAAAGTTGAAGTCAACATCCGGGCACATCACCCCGCCAACGGTGGTATAGATTGAGATAGACAAATACGGACCCAACGGCTGATCATCGTCACAGGCGAGCATGATTGATGTGCCCGGGTGGCCAGCCCACGCCTCATCCCACACATTCAACACTAAAAACGCCCATCGACCGTCCAGCAGCAGCGTTGACGCCGAGAATTGCAGGGAGAACAGCTGAAAACGATTTGTTGTGGTCTCTCTCTCTCTCTCCCTCTCTCTCACTTTTTGCGTCAACCAACCTTACAAACACTCCGCAGTCTATGTTTGGCCATCATATCGACCTGATCATTGACGAGTCGCTGTAGATGAGCCGACAATTTGGCATAGGGAAAATGGATAGCGACCATCAGGGGATCTAAAAATTATTTAGGAAAGGAAGGGAGTGAGGGCGAGAGAGAGAAAGAAAGAAAGAGAGAGAGAGAGAGAGAGAGAGAGAGAGAGAGAGAGAGAGAGTGAGAGAGAGAGGGAGAGAAAACGATACAAGCGAGGCCATCCACCGCTGATTTGAATTGGCGCCAAATGACCCTCTCCCTACCGAACGGCCCCCAGGATTCCAACTTTTCCCGCAAACGTCTGTCTGTTTGTCTGTCTGTCTGCATGTCTTTCTGACGTTGAGTAAAAGACGCACATAGGTACCGAAATGGGTTTTTGAGTTTTCGAGAATTTTGAAGCCTTCGTAGGAGGCGGGAGTGCAAAAAGAGCTAGAATATGAGCGCACGCGAGAGAAAGAGAGAGACACAGAAAGAGAGAGAGAGAGAGAGAGAGAGAGAGACAGCGCCGGAGAGGGATATCGGGGAGATTTCGAACTTCATCAACATCTACTGGAACGGCAGCAACGTGTCGGAAAACGCCTCAAAAATATAATATCTCCATATAAAAACAGCATCGCCAAGGTATTCTACTGCCTGAAATTCAATTAGCATCGCGTTGAAAAGGCAGCAACACTGACTGAAGCCTCAGAATTCCAAGTAGGAAGTCGGTTCTCCTGCTGCTGCTCGTCGCAGGCTGCGCCTGGGCCATGGGATTGCAGATGCCAGAATGGGTACGTTTACCTGTATTTTTACTACATCGATTTAATGTGGTTTTAGTGGTGCAAGGACGACGCGTTTTGCAGGCGCGACCATGGGCCCGGGCATTATTGCGCCACTTTCCAGCCGGATTCCCCGTTCAACAGACGGTGTGAGGTGGGGTTTTAGGGTTGTTAAAAGGAGAGAAAGAGAGAGAGTGAGAGAGTGAAAGCGAGGGAGAGAGGGGAGACAACGTAGATCCTCGTTTCAGAAGGTGCCGGAACGGAAATGCGTGGATGACTATGATTGCTGGAAGCTTTCGCTAGTAAAATGCAATAAACCCACCGAAGGGCGTCTGGGGGATTGCCTTACCAAGTATCGTTGATATAAATATTCTGGCAATAAATGCTCTTTCGGCTACGTCTTTTGGACATTTTAAAAGGATGGTGACAGCAGTGCTATGTGGAAAGCAGCAAGAGAGAGGGGGAAAGAGGCAGAGAGAGTGAGAGAGAGAATGAGAGAGAGAAAGAGAGAGAGCCAGAGAGAGCGAGAGAGAGTGAGAGAGATAGAGAGAGGGAGAGAGCAAAGAACAAGATTTTTGCCTTCAAAACATCAACGGCGGAGGGTTCTGCCTGCAAGATGAAGCAGTACCGCCTTGAAAAGCCCTTGCACATCTAATCACCGAGAATTTGCACTATGAATTCGGGTTTTTTAATCTTTCTAGCCGTGAACCTCTGCTCCGCTATGCTACTACCGCCCAGACACAACACTGTACGTCGAGCCTGCGTAGTTCCGTAAAGACTTTTGCTGCGAGGTAGACGATACCGTTTTCAGGTTTGCGTAACTGACACCTCTTGTATAGAGAGAAACGGGCCAGGGTACTATTGTCACCACTTTCTGCCAAAAAATCCTTATGGGAGTCGGTGCGAGGTATGGCTCAGAGATTACACGATTAGATTAGCAGCGAAAAACGGGGAGAGAGAGAGAGAGAGGGAGAGAGAGAAAGCGAAAGAGAGAAAGAGAGGGAGAGAGTGAGAGAACGCGATAGAGAGAAAGCTGGACAAATCTGGACTTTTAGAAGCTGTTGGCAGAGGAGTGCATCACGGCCGTCGACTGCGGCGAGCTAAGGAAGGGCGGATGTCAGGGATACTCCGAAGGGCTCCCTGGCTACTGCGCCTTCTAAGAATAAATTCGAAGCTTTAGCTTACGTCTAGACGACAGGCGAGGGAAATACAGAGTGAGAGAGATAGAGAGAAAGAGACAGAGACAGATAGAGGGAGAGAGAGAGAAAGAGAAAGCAAGAAATAGCGATAGAGAACGATGTAAAAAAGTGAATCCAAGAAGACCAAACACCACTCCTTCGATCGTTGCCGCATAAGTTTTGCTTTGAAAAACAGCCGCATCTACATTTTCCGACTTAAAAAGCAACGGTACTGCCTTGAACAGGCTGCAAACCGACGAACGCTTCAGAATTCCAAGCATGAAGACGCTGCTCCTGGTCGTGCTCCTCATGTATCTGGCTGCGGCTGATGAGGCGGCAGGATCGGTTTGTTTTCATGGCATTAAATAAAGAATATGGCCAAAATACGATGTATGCTAACCTACAGGTTTGCGGGAACGATGCCACTTGCCAGGAGACGCTTGGGCCAGCGTACTATTGTTTGAACTCCGCGTCGAAATCTCCGAAGACATGTGAGGTCGGATTTTCTTAATTTTGAGAAAAAAAAGAAAAAAAAAAAAGAGTGAGATGAGTGAGAGAGAGAGAGAGAGAGAGAGAGAGAGAGAGAGAGCAAAACCTCTTTCAGAAGCTAAAGAATACTGAATGCCTGACGGACGATGTTTGCAACCCACCGCGAGGGATCTGTTGGGGATATAAAGAAGGACGTCCCGGCGACTGTCTATATCATAACAGAGGCGACGCATAAGGAATAAACTTGGCCGATGAAGCGCCTTTTCCTATATTTTAAAGGGATGATGACAGGGAAGGGCTCTTAAAAAGCATCCAATTTTCTAAGACAAAGCACAGCCAAAGTCGGGAGAGAGAGATTGAGCGAGTGAGAGAGAGAGAGAGAGAGAGAGAGAGAGAGAGAAAGCGCGCGCGGCAATCTTCCACCAGACGCCCAGGTCCTACGTCTGTTGCATAATTTTCAACACCGCCAAAGCAAAGGCGTCAAACCATTGCCTTTTGATGGAAAATCGAGTAGCAGCGTCTTTAAATCAACGAACCCAATTCAAAATGGCGCAAATTCCAAGATGAGACCGCTCGGCCTCATCTTGCTCTTCATCGGCCTCAACGCTGCTCAGGTCCCGGATTTTATGGTAAGTTTTAAAGTGTAGCTTGCATGAGAGAGACGGCGAGAAAGAGACCGAAAGAGAGGGATGGTGAGAGAGAGAGAGAGAGAGAGGGAAAGAAAAATCATGTCGCATTTTCAGATTTGCCTGAACGACACGAATTGCTGGGAGCTGCACGGACCCGAATACTTTTGCAAATACATGCCGGAGAGATACCCGGGCAGCTGTGTTGTGGGTTTATGATTTGAAGTATTTGATAACTTAATTAAACCTAAGCCTAAGCCCAAGTCGAAGCCTAAGCCAAAGCACCAGCCTAATGATTTATTTTAAGAGGCTGCTACCCGATCGTCAATGCCTGAGAGACGACGACTGCGCCGTGAAGGTCGCAGGCGAATGTGACGGCTATTTGCAGGGGCATCCCGGAAAGTGCAAATCATTCAGCAGCTACTGATAAATATGTCGTGGATAAAATTAGCTATGGAGCCTTGAGAGAGAGGGGGAGTGAGCGAGAGAGAGAGAGAGAGAGAGAGTCAGAGAGAGCGTGAGAGAGAATAGATCGACTTGAGAACTCCAGCTCAAAATCACCACAACCTCCTTGTGCTTGATCTCGTGTTTGCAAAATGAAGTGGCAACGACTAGAAAACTCAGGAAACTTTGAGAAAACTATACGGAATCCTTTTCAAGCATGAAGCTACCATTTCTATTCCCCATTTGCCTTACCGTAGTCGCAGCCCTGCCAAATCCGGTATAATTTAAGCAGAGCGCACAACCCCCCCTACCCCTTTACCACAAACCGAACAGAGACAAAAGAAAACACTTACCGCCGCCCCACCCGCACGAAGCCTAACAAAGAGGCAACTTAAATTAATGCGAAAATAGGTGGCTGCGCACACTCCAGGCCCGCACTAGCACAAACCACCCCTACGTACTCCAGCCGGAAGTGAAAGTCCACAACCCACTTTTTTTATAATTTAAGCAATATAAAAGCGAAAATACATGAATCTAGTTCTGCCATTTTGACGACTACTGCCGAGGAGGGTGGTACGAGGGAAAACACTACCACTGTAAAGCTGTCGAGGGCACCGAGCAGAAAATATGCAAGGTAGGTGTGACGTAGCAGAGATTCTTTAGGAAAGGGCAGGCTAGCAGAGATTCTTTAGGAAAGGGCAGGCTAGCAGAGATTCTTTAGGAAAAGGGCAGGCTAGCAGAGATTCTTTAGGAAAGGGCAGGCTAGCAGAGATTCTTAAGGAAAGGGCAGGCTAGCAGAGATTCATTAGGAAAGGGCAGGCTACGAAATTTGCAGCCTAGAAAAACCTCCCATTAATTCAGAAATTACCCGCCCTCCAATGCGTCGACGAATCCGACTGTTGGATGTACAAGCAGCCCGCTTGCATTGGCTACCACGAGGGACGTCCGGGCTACTGCCTGGAGACAGATCCGAATGCATAAATAGTATACTGTATTGGCTGCGATAATTCAATTAAAAATATTGAGCGAGAGAGAAGGAGGGAGAGAGAGGGAGAGAGAGAGAGCGAGGTGCTGTGATAGCTACTTGGTTTGCATTGAATTTATCCATTTCAATCAAATTGAAAGCATCAATTTTTCCGTGTCGCTCCAGTTTACTGATTCTGAAAATCCGATGAAAAATCTTCTAAAATTTTCATCTAAAATCACCTGGCAAACCTGCCGGTCGAGCTCCGTGTTCCAGAAGCATTTATGGCCTAGGTCGCAGTCGCCGTGGGTTTTGCAGTATTTCTAAAGTGATGGTGACGGGCAGCTTGGCTTCCCTAATGATCTCTGCTAACCGGCCTTTTCCTAAAGAATCCCTGCTAGCCTGCCATCTCCTAAAAAATCGCTGCTAGCCCTACCAACGCGTCGGCAAGTTGAGCCATCGTGACCACAAAGAACAGCATGGAAACCAAGAAGCGCATTTTTGGCGTTTTTAGGAAAAATCTGGGATTTGCCAGCTTATATCCCCCAGCTACGATAATTTGCATTTTACGGCTTTTTTCCGTATCCTGTTTTTTTATCGGAAAGCTGTAAAAAGGAAATAAATCTTGGAAAACGTAACAAAAATTTTTTGTGCCATATATTTTAATATGGAAATCGCATCGAAAATTCGATTTAATTTCTATTCCAAAAGTAATGTTTGATGCTTTAGATCGATTTTCCATTTGTGAGAGGTTAAAAACCGAAAATCTCATAATTTCGTTTAACCCTCAAATGATCTCTGCTAGCCTGCCTCCTACATCCACAATGATATTTGCTAGCCTACTCTTTGACTTCCCAAAGGATCTATGCTAGCCTGCCGAAAATTTCGTGCTTTAAGGGGACAGTAACATCAAACAAAAAAGTATGAAAATCCGTGCCAGATTTTTCGAAATTTGGATCGTCATGTACTCGTCACGCCTGTCAACCCCCACAAAAATTCGCGCGTCATCAAGCTGGTCATACTTGCTATTAAAATGCCCAATATATTCAAAAAACCACTCCCAAAAAGGAGCCGGCAGCTTTGGCGGTGGCCCGCCAAAGGAGTGGCGCGTAGTCGGCCTGAATTTTTTGAGAAAAGTCATGAATTTTAAGGTATAAAAGAGTAGTATATGGTGGTATTAACATTATTAAATTTGACCGCTAAGAACTATGCGTTTCATCAGCTATTTCTGCTTTTTCCTGACTGTCTTGGCCGCCAGTGTCACTGCTAGATTGGTGGATCCCAAATGCGACCTGATAGACCCGAGCTGTGGTATGCCGGGACAGGTGGGGCAGGTTAGCAGAGATTATTTGGGAAGCGAAGGTAAACTAGCAGAGATCATTTATGAATCGGAGAGGCAAGCTAGTCGAGATTATTTGATAATCGAAGGGGCAGGCTAGCAGAGATCATTTGGGAATGGATGGGGCGGGTTAGCAGATATCTTTTAGGAAAATTGATCACTGGAAAAATTCTGGTAGACTTGCGGAGATTATTGAGCCTTTAAGGTGACGACCGGCGAAGGCGAACTCCCAGAAAAATTCGGTCCGGTTGGCAAGAAGCACTTTGCCTTCGCCAAATAGACGAATCAGAAGATTGATTTTTTTTCTAAATAAATCATATCGTTATTTTCCGCTAATAAATTTACAAAAAAATTACAAAAAATACAAAAAAAACACCTTAAAAGAGTGCCGACGCTTTTTGGCGGCGGTCCTTCAAAGGAGCAGATTTTGTAAAAGAAACGGCGCATTTTTTCTGTATAAAATCACTGGTTTCGCCGTTGCACACTTTTTCACTGCGAAAAAATGCAATTTACGCTTTGTTTCTGTATTTTTCTGATGGTATTTACGGTGTCAGTGACTTCCAAGAGGCCGATATGCACCAGTGAACGGGAGTGTCTTCCGAGGAGGGTATGATGGTATTTTCGAAAGTTGCTGATCAGGACAGCTAGCAGAGATTCTTTAGGAAAGGGCAGGCTAGCAGAGATTCTTTAGGAAAGGGCAGGCTAGCAGAGATCCTTTAGGAACTCAAGTTCTTGATCAAAAAACACAGGCCATTTTGCAAATTTTTGATTCCTGTTTTTTCGTTCCGAAAGGCCAAAGGTCACCGGCGCCAGTAAATCTTCAAAGCCTTGCCATTAACAATTCAAATGCACGTTTCTATAAATTGTCCTCGAGCTCGAGGTTGGTAAGAAAATGCGCTCCTTCGCCTTCTTGCTCGCCTTTTGCCTGCTTCTGGCCGTCGCGCTAGCCAAAGATGGCTGCCATATGGATCCGGATTGTCGCCGTCAAGTAGGTGAAATCCTAAATAATCTCTGCTAGCCTGCCTTTTCCGTAAGAATCCCTGTTAGCCTGTCTTTTCCTAAAGAATCTCTGCTAGCCTCCGGTTTCCAATAGAATCTTGGCTAACCTGCCGCTCTTTTCAGCATAGGGAGCAGCAAGGACGCCAGCTGAAGGGCGACTTCTGCCGTCCCGGCGGCAAGAACACCTGTGGGGCTAAGAAGTTTTGTTGCGGACGTGACAAGTAAGTAACATCATACGGTTTAAAATAAGATTAGATTTAACTTCTTGATGTTAAGTCCTCAATACACAAGCATACCGATTTAGGAATCGCGGCTACTGTGAGCGTGAGACGGAGCGGAAGAAGCTGAAGTGTATCCTTTAAAGCAAAATAAATCGTCTGTAAATTGGTCATTTTTACGCAAAAAAGTCCCCAAAAATCCCTGCTAGCCCACCTCACTTCATAAATAATTTCTGCTAGCCTGCTTTTTAATTTTGAAACAATTCCGGCTAGCCTGCCGCTCAATTCCAAAAGATCTCTGCTAGCCTGCCCTTTCTTAAAAAAATCTCTGCTAGCCTGCCTGATGCCTGCTAACCGGAAACAAGAGAAAAACGCCCTTCCTCCGATGCGACAAACGTCAATGCTTTTTGGCTTTGCAATTCAGTAGCTATCCGTATAAAATGAACTCCCGGCTTCCGGGGTTACTTAAAATGCGCTCCATCGTCTACCTGTTGGCTTTCCTGGCCCTGGCTGCGGCCTACGATACTCCGCAATGGCCCTGCCGTAGTGGATACGATCCGGCTTGTTGGAAGATGAAAGCGCTGGATGTAAGTAAAATTCCGGGAATGATCTCTGCTAGCCTGCCCTTTCCTCAATTATCTCTGCTAGCCTGCCCATTTCCAGGGTGGCCCCCGTCAGCTGAAAGGCGGCGCTCCGCCCAAAAAAGTTTGCCGCAACGGCTCGAACGACTGCGGCAGTGGTAACTATTGCTGCGGAAGGACCAAGTATGTGCTTTTTTTAAACGGGTGCTTTTGCGTTATCGGCGGTGGGGGGCTTTTGCTTGGTAACCAAATTCAATCCAATTAGCCAAATTACAAATTTTTGTCAAAAACAACGATTTTACGATCAAAACAGACCGATCTTGACCAAATTTTTCATAATTTGGGTTTTTAGCGGGGTTTGTAGAGGGTTTTTCCACTTAAAATGCAGCTAACTTCTGCTAAAAATTCTATGAAGCTTAAGCCTAAGTCGAAGCTTAAACCTAAGCTAAGCCTAAGCCTAAGCCTAAGCCTAAGCGAAGCCCAAGCTAAGCGTAAGCAGAAGCCTAACTAAACTAAGCCTAAGCCAAGCTTCGCAAAAATACCAAAATTCTTCTTAGATGAGCATAGAAAATTTGCTTGCAGAACTAGCGGCGTTTGTGAGCCGGAGACGAGACGCCCAAACTTGAGGTGCGCCAAGCCTGGATAAATCAATCGTTAACGGCGTGAAATAAAGGGCCAGTTAGCAGAGTTCTTTGAGGAACCAGAGAAAGACAAAATTCGCATGATATCGAAAATCATTAAATTGCAATACAATATATTTGACGTTGTTGAATACATTAAAAATCATGGCCGTGTTCTATAAAACGGGGCGGGCGACCCCGAATTTGCCAATAAATATGCGCTATTTTCTGCTCTTCCTGCTGCTCGTGGCGATTTGTGATGCCGGGGTACGGTTTTAAGAATTTCTACCGCCATGGCGAGATTTTTCGGCATTTTGTAGTTTGTAATCCAAATTGGAAAAACCCCAATTTGGGGCAAATCCCAACACGGCTGAAAAATCGCGATTTTCGGCATTTTTTTCCCGATTTTTAGTAGTAGTTTGGCAGAAAGAAAGGTTGTTTTTAACACGTTACGTAATTTGACCTAGTTTGCAGTTTAAACTGCAATAAAATTCCGATTTCGAGGAAATCCCGACATCGGGCGCAAAGCCAGATCGTCGGGATTTCTCGGATTTTGTAGTTTGTAGTCTGGCATACAAAAAGCCGTTTTTCGGAATTTTGCAGTTTGTAGCATTTGATACGGTATGTCGGGAGAGTGCGTTGCGTGTCGCGTTCCTATAATTTTTTTAGTGCCAAGACAAATGCCGCTTGAATGTCGACTGCCCGCCTTCTCAATTTTGCAGTTCGATACATGGGTGTAAGAAGTGTGCGGTAGGAGATATTTTTTAAACCTTTTCTACAAATTTAAAGTTCAAATTTTACTCAATTATAATTTGCGCTAATTCCAGCCTCTTAATGCGAAGCGCTGCGGCAAGAATTCGGACTGCGGAGCCGGAGAGCGATGCGTTGATGGGCCGGAACGACCGACTTTGGCTGGGCAGGGCCTCTGCGAACGGAAATAAATAATTGAATTTTGGTTAAGCACTGATTTTCTCATGAAAAGTCCTAATTTTCCGCAAAGTTTCTTTGCAAGATACCAATTCCAACCAAAAATCACCAAAAACTGACCAAAACTAACGGGAAACGCATACCAGTAGCCTGAGAAAACAAATTGAATTTCCTAAAGAATCCCCGCTGGTTATCCTACATTTCGAGTCTTCGAGCAATCAATATTCCTCAAAAATCTCTGCTAGCCTGCCCGTAATTTTCTGCAGCTTTTTTAGCAACCTTGGCTTTGGACCCTGAAATCAAAGACCAGCAAGCTTTTTTCAGAAAATCTCAATTTCCGATGCCGAAACCAATAATAAAAATAATTCCATGCATAATGCATCAGGTGCTCCGCACAAAACCAAACTTTCAGACATTTTTCCCCAAAATTCTTTATCGAAAAACCAAAAATGAAAGTGCTGATCTTTGCCGCATTGTTCGCCGTTGCCGTGGTTGCTGATCAGGTAGGGGGCAGGCTGGCAGAGATTCTTTAGGAAAGGGCAGGCTAGCAGTGGCTCTTTAGGAAAGGGCAGGCTAGCAGAGATTCCTTAGGAAAGGGCAGGCTAGCAGACGTTCTTTAGGAAGGGGCAGGCTAACAGAGATTCTTTCAGGAAAGGGCAGGCTAGCAGAGATTCTTTAGGAAGGGGCAGGCTATCAGAGATTCTTTAAGAATGGGCAGGCTAGCAGAAATTGTTTAAGAAAGGGCAGGCTGGCAGAGATTCTTCAGGAAAGGGCAGGTTAGCAGAGATTGTTTGGGAAATAGGTAAATGCTTAGCTAGCACCGAGGATTATGTAGGATCCGCTCCCATCCCTCTCCATTCCAGTGCTCCCAAGACTGCCAACACAATGAGGATTGCCCGATTCTCCAGTACTGCTCCGGGGTCAAATGTCGCACTTGCGAGGTAGGTTGCGTTTGAAACTAAAGGGATAAGGATAGTTCATGTAAATCAAGAAAATCGGGGGGCGGCGGAAAGCGGCTCTGATCCCTCCTTCCTGAGGACTATCACTCCACAGCATTCCGACCCTTAACATTTGTGTTCGTGTAGCGCGAACAGGATGGGACAGGCGAGAGAGTGGGCGGGGGGTGGAGAGCCCAGAGGCCCTCTCTGTTCTCTGCGTCTCTGCCTGGCGGCCGCCAGCCTCTATTGGCCGCCGGTCGCCTCCTAAACCGTGCCCCAGCCACCATTGGCGGCTCTATGAGTGCCGGCCTCGCTACCCCCTGTGCACTATCCGCCAGCCCCTAGACGAACAAAGCGGAATCATGTGACTCACTCATCCGTTTTCGCATCGCGTAATCGGTTGACTTTTTGCCAATCGTAGATTAGGCACGATACACTCGGGCTGTCTGGCCCCTTTCAAGGGATGCAAAAGATCCAGTAATATGCAATAGTACTAAAATTGGATACAGTAATGTGCAAAATACAGTAATAACCAGGTTTTCAGAAGCTTCTGAAAGACAATCGCTGCGGAAAAGACACGGACTGTGGCGTGAAAAAAGTTTGCGTCAACGGACCGTACAAGGAGGAGCAGAAGAAATATGGACTTGGTGTTTGTGTGCCGAAATAATTATGGAATAAAAGATTCTTTACGAGACGTAGAACAAGAATTAGAGGCATGCTAGCAGAGGTACTCTGGGGTATCTGGGAACGGCCGTAATATTAATTCAGAGTGCATTTTAGCTCCAGAAAGAATTAATTCCAAAAATCTCAGCCCTCTCCTACCAGTCATTTCTTCCCAACTATACGAAAATGAAGAAACGCGTCCTGTTCGTTATTTCCTTCTACGGCTTTCTCTGGATTGTCTTTGGCGTCGATTCCCATTTGAATCGCGGGTTTGATGAGAAGGTGAGTTTGTTTAATTTATTTATTTTGAGTTTGTTTATTTTAGTTGTTAATATATTTATGTTTATACCAGCAAGAAAAACCCTCAAAAACAACAAATGCAGGACCTAGAAAAATCGCGATCCAGACTAATAGGATCTAATAACCTTAGAAAACTCAAAAATAACTTGAAAATTTTTCCTAGGGCAAAGCCATCCCGGACGTGCCATGCAGCCGTCAGCAGCGATGCGCCAATCCGCGCGAAGTTTGTGATATCGCCTTTTCCGGAGGAAAAGGATACTGTCGGGTAAGTTATCGATTCTCTCCGATCCGTCCTCAAGAATCTCGGCTAACCCACCCCGATTTTTTCAGCCGCTCGCCCGGTGGGATTGCTACACGAATTCGGATTGTACCGGCGGAAAGATTTGCCATCTGGACTGCAAAAACATAAAGTTGGTGGATCTTTGGCATTATCGAGGGGAGTATACCTTAGGCTTAAGCTTAGGCTCAGGCTTAGGAGGCTTCAACATAGCGCCTAAAAATCCATCTTTTTCAGCTACAACCCTTGTCTCGGGCGGTGCGCTTTCCGCTTCGACAAGCCGTACGCCTGGCAGGGCCGCGACAAGGTCGTCATCAAGTATTCCTAATGGATCTGTTGTACGGAATAAAAATTGGAGCTTTATGCCCTCTGTCTCCTGTCTCTCTTTGTCTGTCTCTCTGCCTGTCTGTCTCTGTCTCTCTCTCTCTCACTCACTCTCTCTCTCTCTCTTTCTCTCTCTCTCTCCCTCTCTCTCTCTCTCTCTCTCTCTCTCTCTCTCTTCTTCCAGCTCTCTGTTTGGCAATTATTGGCAATTTCATTTTATTCGATCACCGAGTACAGGGCTTAATGTGGACGGCAGTGCAACCCGCAGGCTTGCGATTTTTTTACTTCGGATTTTTTGCCACCCTTTTTCCCGCCATCAGATTTCGAGAGCTTGGAAATCTGAAGATTTAATAATTTAAAATACGGCGATGAATTTCGACAGTATTCCCAAAAATATTTTCTAAGAAAACCAACCGGTTGGGACGGGCCGGCGCTACCAGTTCCGGTGGTATCAAACTGGCGCTTCGAACGCGCGGAGCTCTAAAAATTTTCCCTGATCATGCCGTTTTCATTTTGCAACAATTATTTACATAAAAAATGAAAATCAAAAATACGAAGGTAAAACTGACGTCAATTTCGTCATCTGGCTGACGCCTTGAATTTGTGCAGTCCTGAAAAATTCCCTAGCAAGTGCCCGTTTTCGGCAATTTTTTTGCATAAAAAATACAAACAAATAAAACACAAACCTAAAAAATTTTTTACATACAAAAAAGAAAAAGTCAAACTGACCTCAGTATTGACGTCAGTGTCCTGGCGCTTCGAACGCTTGGAGATCTAAATTTTTTTTTATATAAACAAAATCTAGCCAAAAGAAACTAGATAATTTATTACATAAAAATAAAAGACTTATAAAGCCTACTTTTAACAAAAAAAGTTTTTAAAAAGCAAAAAAGCCCGACTGACCTCAGTATCGACCTCCACGTCGGTCTGACGCTTGGAGAGCCTGTGCGGTCCCTACAAATTTAGAAAATAAAAGGTTTTCAGGCCTTGTTGGTTGCTAGTTTCTCATTTTCTCAAATTCCGTAAGAAACTCTGCTGGTTCCCCTCTATTCCACCACCACCCTCCCCCCGCTAGGGAACCAGAACCGAAATATGCTATTCGCTAGGTTCGTCATTTCCCCAAGGATCTCTGCTGGTTGCCCTCTTCAAGCTTACCTTGTCCTCGTGGAGTTGGCGTTTTGAGCGAGCGGAAGAGGGCTAAAAACTCATGTTTCATGAGCTAGTAATCTAACTCTTGAGGGTAATTTTCAACAAAAACGCACCTCATTACCTTCAGATTGGCGCTTCGACAACGAGTGCGGGCGCTAGAATGAAAGTAGGCTTAGGACGCTTGACAAACAGGGCCAAGAGCTAGGCCTAAGGCTAAGCTTAAACCAAGAAGAAGCTAAGCCTACGACTAAGCCTAAGCCCAATCCCAAAAATTCACCTGGTCCTCGGTATCGCGCTTCTTCAGCCCCTGGCCCCAGTTACCCTACAAATGGCAATGTCAGCACGGATTTATTAGGCGCACTTACAAACCAACCGCAAGTCGGGCACTCATCGCTTCGCTTGGAGAGCTAAAAAATTGGTCAAATTTACGTCAAAGCCCAAATACCTTGTGATAATCCACCTGGCGCTTCGACAGCGAGTGTGGGCCCTAGGAATTAAATTTATTGCGGTCAAAATTGAAGCAGAAAGACATTGCTATAAAGCCTAAACTAAGCCTAACCTAAGCTTAAGCTAAGCCTAAGCTACGCCTAAGCTAAGCCTAAGCTAAGCCTAAGCTAAGCCTAAGCTAAGCCTAAGCTAAGCCTAAGCTAAGCCTAAGCTAAGCCTAAGCTAAGCCTAAGCTAAGCCTAAGCTAAGCCTAAGCTACGGCTAAGCTAAACCTAAGCTAGCCTAAGCTTAACCTAAGCCTAAACCCAAGCCTAGTCATAAGCCTGACGGTAAACCTAAGCTTAATAAGCCTCAATTCCATAGGTTTAACCAAACATATAAATACCTCATCATCCGTATCCCGCTTCTTCCGCCCCATTCCCTGTAATGCAATTTCTTTTGATCTTTAAACCCACCGGTGCGCAGATATCGCACTGCCGCTGCGACCGAATCGATAAAGCCTACGTAAAAACGTTCACGCGCTTTTCTTAGCAAAATAACTACAGAAAATGACCGTGAGGTAAATTTTTTTGCAAAAATCAAAATGTATGGTAAAAAATTTTAAATGCAATGTAAAATTTAAAAAATGAGAATTTTAATTGAAATTAAAAACTATATAAATATTTGTAAATACGGTAATTCATATACGGTAATACAACGGACCTGCACGGCGAGTACCGTAGCCAAGACAAGGATTAGCAACGAGAGGCTCCTCATTGTTTCGAATGAGAATTTGCAGGCTCGATTTTCCTTATATTCCGTTTTGAAAACCATTTCTGTTCGTTTTAATGGGTCGTAAAGAACGTTTTTACACATTTTCGCGTTTAAATTTTTCGGTTACGAGGATTTGAGCGGTTTGGAGGTTTGTGCTTTGCCCGATCGGGGGCGTAAATCAAAGAAAATGGGGGTAGGGATTTTGCGTTTTCGCGTTTTCAGCTGTTCACGATAACATCGAATGGCAAAAAATTTATTGTGCGCGTAGAGGGGCGATCCCATCCTCACAATCCGCATCCACCGAACAGCCGGCACCCTGGCGCTTCGCGCGCGACGCGTGGCCCTGAAATTTTTCTATCTGATCTGCGGTCGTTTGGTTCTTCCTATCGGATCGAAGTGTTTGTATAAATCGAGAAATGCCTAGTAACCTAAAAACAAGTGTTTTAATAATTTAGTAGTTAATAGTAGTAATAGTAGTAGTTAATAAAAACATTTAAACTAGGAAAACTATCTAAAAACTTTAAAAACAAATCGACATTTTGTTCAAATTGGTTTGGTCATTTTCGGTCTAAAATTTGATATTTTCGATACCTTTAAACCCACTTTGCAAAGATTTCACGATTAGGAATAGTAAAAAATCATTTAAAAACACTTTCACTATTTATATTTTAAAAATTCGATCCTAAGAAAAAGTCCCCCCCGAAAATGCAAAAGAATCTGCGGCCGACGCTCACCTCCCCTTCTACGTTCCTGAGTTTGTTCAGCGTAGGGTAGAACTAAAAATGATGTGTAATCAATCCCTAGCTCTCTCTCTCTCTCTCTCTCTCTCTCTCTCTCTCTCTCTCTCTCTCCTCCTTTGCCTTCAGAAAATTAACATACCACCGGCTCCTTCGGACAGGGGCGTACCGAGCAGGTGCCGCCCCGCGGCCTGGCGAAAACTACTGTAGCCAAGGCAATAAATAGCAAGAAGAGGGCCCTCATATTTTCCGAGCGACAAGGCCCATTTTTTTGTTATATCCCATAGATTCGATCGTGGAATTTATGCGTTAGATTTGAAATTCTAAGCGTCTGGAGGGCCGGCAATGAATTTCAAAAATCGATGGCAGGGCTAGAGAAAGAGAGAGAGGGAGAGCAGGAGCTAGAGAGAGATAGAAAGCTAGAGAGAGAGAGCGAGAGAAAGAGAAAGATTGCGTGGGAGAGAGTGTAACAGAGTGAGAGAGAGAGAGCATGAGTTAAGAGTGCGAGAACGCGAGAGCCTGAGATAGAGAGAGAAGGAGAGGAAGAGAAATAGCATGAGATAGAGAGAGAATAAGAGATGTAGTGCGTTATCTCCGGTCACGACCCCTTTAAAAATTAGTATATAGCTTTATTACAATGGCATTATTATGATCCGTCATTGCCATCATTTTTCGCGACGATCTTCGACCTGAGATTGGGCAGGCTAGCAGAGACCATATGGGAATTGTGAGGGCAGGCTAGCAGAGATCATTACAGAAAATTATACCTTCGGCTTGCCGCCTTTCCCATCGGATTTATTCACCCTCCAGGGCCAGTTGTCCTGAAACCCAGAAGTTGTCTAGTCTAGCTATGAATCACTTGCTTGTCTGTTGCCTTTAAATTTTAATGTTTGAATTGAAGTTTAGAAGTAACGACAAGGGAATTGCTACCAAAATGTCGAATTTTTTTGGATAGTATTCGGGGTTTTTCCGGGAAAATTATCTTATGTAAATTTCGACATTCTGAATTTCGACATTCTGAATTTCGACATTCTGAAATTTCAACGTCCTGCCTTTAGAGATTTTTAGAGAAGCCCTACCTTTTCGCCTTGTTGAAATGGATACCCTAATGGCCCCGGGGGGCATTCGGGGAGGCGACCACCCTTGCAACCATCTGCTGAGGCAGCAACAATCAGCAATAGGAGAACGAGCAGGGTACGCATGTTGTAGTGGAGTTACGGCCAGCGTCCCGGTATTTATAGGTCACCGCTACGAAAGGTCAAAGACTGAGGGTTGAAGTTTTAGCATTTTTAAATTTATTCTGCGATTTTCTGGTTTTGACGCAAGACGCGATGATTTACAAGTGAAATGGCAACTGTGAGAGCCGCATTAGGTTTTGCAAGGTGTGCGAGAGAACGAGAGGGGGGAGAGAGGGCGAGCGAATGAGAGAGAAATCAAAGAAAGAGGGAGAGAGAAGGATAAACGAAAGGGAGAGCCAGAGAATCAGAGAGAGAGAACCAGAGATAGCCAGAGAGCGCGAGAGAGAGAATGAAAATGAGAGAGAGAAAATGAGAGAGTGAGAGAGAGGGAGAGAGAGAGAGAGAGAGCGCGCGAGAGAGTTTTGCGTTTGCTACCAAATTTGGTTGCGATGGTCGTTGATTTTGCGAAAAACACCTTTTTTAGGAAAAACAGCTTCTTCAAGCGGAATTTTGCTATTTCCCAGAGCTGTAGTGGAATTTACTGACCTTGGCGTTTTCCAAAAATTACTGTCGAAAAACCAAATTGCGAAAAACGGGAATTTTGCGATATGCATTTCGAGGTGTTGTAAATCTCACTTTCTATTACAATAAATTGATATCCTACTATATATAAAAAAATAGTGTCTGTGTGTGTGCATTTGCATGCAACTTCCGTCCGGCTGTTCCGCACGTATCGGGTCAGGGGAAGGCTTTTAAGGCACATATGATACGTCATTAGATGCGTAATGGCGCCGAGATAAGTGCACGCACATAAAAGTTTGGAAAAATTACTGTTTTCGCTATTAAAATCGAGTTTTTGTAAAGATATCGAGAAACCTCTTTGTTAGGAGGCAATTTGCATGCGCCGGAAGTGCGGTAAGCCTATATAAGGGCGCGAAAGGGGTTCTTTTCATTTTTTTGCGATCAAGGTCCTGGAAGAATATGCATATTTTTGACTATCATGTGCGTTAGACGGGGCCAGGGTTGAAAAGCCGCGAAGCGGTTTTTCAACCCTGGTTTATTCCCAATCACGGGCATCTGAGTGGATAGCACTGCCCGACGCATCGCTGCAGCGTTTCGTGGCACCGCTGACCCGACCCGCAATCGGCTTGCACCTTGCAGATCCCGCCCAAGTCGCTGGCGACATCGTGCGGTGGAGATGTTTTTGGAGGAAACTAAATAAAATAAATTTCAATGTAAAGAGTTTTCGCAAGCACCATGTTGACAAAAATAGATAAACCCTAGAGCCCGGCCGTTTATAAAACACACCGTGCGTCTGGGGCAGCCCATGCCGATGCACGGCGGCCTGTCAGCCAAGGCTACGGTAACGAGCAGCAGGACGACGAGAAGACCGCGCATTTTTGAATTTGAATGCTCAAGTCTGGAGGTCTGGGGATTTATACGAAAAACGTGTGAAAATAGGTTTGACATCAAAAAATTTCCGGCGTTAGCGACGGATCGACGATTTTGTTTTAGGGGGTTTTTAGATTTATGTTTTGGTAACACATTTCTTGAAGCAATAATCTTTGATCAAAACAATCACGACATTTTAGCAGAAATATGAGAGGACAATGAGAGAGAGAGGGCGTAAGAAGGCGAGAGAGAGATAAAGAGAGAGAGAGAGAGAGAGAGAGAGAGAGAAAGAGAGAGATATAGAGAAAGAGAGAGAGCGTGAGAGAGATCGAGAGCGAGAGGGATCGAGAGCGAGAGAGAGAGAGAGATCGGGAGGGAGAGCGGGAGAGACATATTTTGCATTTTCTGTCCCCTCTTTTTCTTTCTATACTTTTTGTTGCGGAGCGCCTTCGAGCGCCCCCGCCTTTTCCCTTCGCTCCCCGGCCCTCCGCCTATCCAGTGCCCTTTCCACCGTAACGGGGTCTCTCTCCCCACGGGGCCAGCGATGGCATTTATTTCCCCAGTTCCCTACTAGTTCCAATTCGGTTCTAATTTCTCCTCCTCTTGCCGCCATGTTGCTCACCGAATAAACAGTTGTTCGTAAACTGTTCGTCCCGCTGCGCACCACACTCTATCAAGACACAACAACTGGCGATCAGGATCACGAACTCACGCAACAACAAGGAAACCCCCAAGCCAAGAAGCAGCCGCTCAAGCCGCCGCCCGGTCAAGGAAAAAGTTGGTCAAGCAGATGGTGATCAAGCGCAAGGATAAGAAGCTCTGCATGGCAAAGAAGCGGCGTCATCCCATGGAGGATTCGATTGAAAGGGAAGCCTTTTTGCCCCTATTTGGCCTTCGCACTTTCTATGTGCCCGGATCGCGTGGCCATGCCTGTCGACAAGAAGGACCAAGTCGAAGCGCGCCGTCTTCGCCCTCAAGCGCAAGAAGGAAGGAAGGATGTCTCCAGCCAAGGACGACAAGAAATGCAGAGAAGGCCACGACGAATGGGTCAACTACGCGGCATCCGGCTGCCGCTCGCCCACTGGAACTCCGTCAAGGCCGGCCGCGACTTCTTCAAGGAAAGAAGAAAAAGACCGCGGTGTCTTTTCACGTTGGAAAAGCCCGCGGCAACGTCCGGCCGTTTATAGCCGTTGAAAGACCGGGACGCCGACTTTTTTGAAAAGTCCCCGGCAACGCCCGGCCGTTGATAGCCGAGAAAGTCCGGTGCGCCACCACCGAGTGCCGCCGGCCGATGGTTCACCTCTATGGAAGAGGCCCGTCGTTTAAAGACCGGGAAGCAGACTTTTTTTGAAAAGTCCCCGGCAACCTCCGACGGTTGATAGTCGAGAAAGACCGGTGCGCCACTACCGAGAGCGGCCGGCAGATGGTACACCTCTATGGAAGAGGCCTGTCTTGGAAAGACCGGAAAGCCGACTTTTTTGAAAAGGCGCCGGCGACGTTACGGCCGTCTGTAGCCTGAAAGACCGGGACCCAGGCTTTTCTGAAAAGCCCCCGGCAACCTCCGACGGTTTGTAGTCGAGAAGACCGGCGCGCCACTACAGCGAGCGGCCGGCCGATGGATTTCACCTCTACGGAAGAGGCCCATCGCGAAGACCGAGTCTGATGCAGCAGATCGGCGGACGGTGCCCCAGCGAGCCCGTCGACACGGAGCGGCAAGATCAAGCTCATCATTCCTGCACGGGGGAAGGAGGTCGTGCCGCAAGTCGCCGTCTTCCTTGGTCAAGCACCGCCGAACGTTCTGAAGGAAGGAAGGAAGGAGGCTCAGCCCTGCGCGCGCCAATTAATAAAGGAAAAAGCAAATAAGTTTGACTTATTTTACGTTGTGATTTGATCCCTCGTTTTGCTGTACGCAGTTGTACATTTTCCGTTGGTGTCTCCTCCTCGTCTCCACAATTTCCTTTCTTTTCGTTTTGTACAGGGGGAGGTGTTGCGGAGCGCCTTCGAGCGCCCCCGCCTTTTCCCTTCGCTCCCCGGCCCTCCGCCTATCCAGTGCCCTTTCCACCGTAACGGGGTCTCTCTCCCCACGGGGCCAGCGATGGCATTTATTTCCCCAGTTCCCTACTAGTTCCAATTCGGTTCTAATTTCTCCTCCTCTTGCCGCCATGTTGCTCACCGAATAAACAGTTGTTCGTAAACTGTTCGTCCCGCTGCGCACCACACTCTATCAAGACACAACACTTTTATATTTATTCCGGTTGCTTTTCATCACAGTGGATAGCGAGGCGCCATGCATCTGTGAACCTCCGGGTGGCACTCCTCCCCCTTATCACAATCCGCATCCACCTTGCAGACCTTGCCCATCCCACCGTCGGGCTAAAATGTGGAAAAGTTAAGGTAATTGCCTGGTTGCCATAGTGTTTCAAACCTTGTTTCCTTGGTCTTTCCCTGCCGGAAAAATAAATGTTGTAAAAATGATTGAAAGGGCTTTCGAAAAAAGTTACTATCGAAAAAACTCGTCTTCTAATAGAACATACCTTCTCGGCCGGATTCGGCTTCGGCTTTCCGGCCGGCTTCGGATTCGGCTTAGCATCAGGCTTGGGCTTGGGCTTCTCGGCTGGCTTGGGCTTGGTCTCAGCTGGCTTCGGCTTTGGCTTTCCGCCCTCTTTGGGCTTGGGCTTCTCGGCTGGCTTGGGCTTGGTCTCCGCAGGCTTCGGTTTCGGGTCCCCGGCCGCCTGCGGCTTGGGCTTCTCAGCAGGCTTCGTCTTCGGCTTCTCAGCCGGCTTCTCGGCCGCGTTGGGCTTCGGCTTCTCGTCCGGCTTCCCAGCAGGCTTCGTCTTCGGCTTTTCCGCAGGCTTCTGGTCTGGCTTCTCGATCACTTGGGCGTTCTTCTCGGGCTTGTTGCAGCCGATGCCTTTGCAGGGCGGCTTGTCGGCCAAGGCTACCGTAACCAGCAGCGGGAGCAGAATGAGAAGGGCGCGCATTTTGAAAAATAATCCTCAATTCTCGAAACCGGGAGATTTATACGAAAAATGTGAGAAAACCGGGGAGAACGGAAAACTGTTTCCGAATTTTTACGATGGACTAACGAATTTTTTATGGCTTTTTTGGATTTATGAGTTTGGAAAGTATTTTTTGAATTTTTGAATTTTTGAATTTTGAACTTTCGCCTGTTCTTTCGCCCACCCCCCCCGATAATGCGAAAGAATCCTTTGCTCGAATAAATTCAGACATGATTTATGCCATGATTTCGAAATTAAGCGAGATTTATTGTATCATGATGCATTTTCCCGGTTCATCAGAGCCGAGTAGTCGTGCGATGCAGAAACCGTGATCGCAATCACGGCTCAGGAAGCAGCCGCCTGGAGGGAGAGGCTAAAATTTAGGCTACTGGAACTACGACCTGGATTCTCAAATGATCTTTGCCATCCTGGCTTTAATCCTAAGTGGTCCCTGCTAGCCTGCTCGTTCAATTCCTAGATGGCCTCTGCTAGACTGCCCCACTTCAGTTCCTAAAAGATTCCTGCTAGCCTGCCCTTTCCTAAAGAATCTCTGCCAGCCTGCCATTTCCTAAAGAGTCTCTGATAGCCTCCCCTTTCCTAAAGAATCTCTCCAGGCCGAACCATCCACCCTCAAATTAACCCTGCTAGCCTGCTTTCTGTGATCTCTCGAGCTGCCCCCGATTCCCAAAGCATCTCTGCTAGCCTGCCTACTTCAAAAAATTTTGCGAACTGACCACGCATTTCCTGTATCGACAATACTTTCCAGGCATACAACCTTCGTGGCTGAAGCACTCAAAACGCAGCTAAAACCAAAGAATAAAAGGGTAGAATCAGAGCTTACCGCAGAAGTTATGGCTAAAAATACGCAAAACATTAAGATAGAGGAAAATCTCAGCATCGGGAAAATTCGAGACAGACAATTTTGTTCAGGGGTCCCCTCTTCTATTCATTTCTGTGAATTGTGTGTCTCAATGACTATTTGCTTGTCTCGTCGGCGTCAAAATAATGAATGTTTCAGTGCTGTGTCACAATTCTGCTCAATTTCCGGTTTTTATAACTGTTGAAGGGGGATGAGAAGCGGAACAAGCCCAAACCTATGCCTAAGCCTAAGCCTAACTATAAGCCTAAGCCTAAGCCCAAGCTCAAGCTCAAGCTCAGAAGCCTAAGCCTAAGCCTAAGCCTAAATCCTAAGCCTAAGCCCAAGTATAAGTCTCTCGATTCCCTTTAGTTAAGCTTATCTCAGAATTGTTCGGGCAAATCAGTACGATACGTGTTTCAATTTTATCATTTAGCTGCTGCTTCGCACTCGTGGCTTAAGTTTTTAGCTTTATTGGCTTAGAATCTTCACGGCTCCCAGGGCGGGCGGGGCGGGATGCAGCTCGACTCGCCGTCGGGGTAGATTCTGCACAAAAGCCCATCCATGCAATCCGCATCGTTCAGGCAGCTGCCGGGTTTTGGGAACTGAAAAGGGAGCATTCATACGGTTTATCGCAAAAGAGAAGCAGAGAGAGTTAGAGCGAGAGAGAGAGAGAGAGAGAGAGAGAGAGAGAGAGAGAGAGGGAGGGAGGGAGTCCCAAGAACATACGTTGCCACAAAGCCACTTTCCCTGACACACTTGGCCCTTATGACAGTCGCTGTCGACGGTGCAGCGCTGAAATAATTTTCAGCTTTTTTCTGACCATGCACACATTAGAGTATCACTAATGACATGCATACTGCTGCGAAATCTACAGTTTTCTAAACTCACGATTGGATGGATTTGCCGCTTGGAGCGCAAATGATGCAGCTCGTCAGCGGTCTGAAGCGGCTACAAAGTTTAAAAAGGACGTACATTATCTTTCGCGTTTACCGAAACTACGGCTACCGTAGCCAGCAGCAGAAAAATCCAATAATATTCTCCCATTTCCACCCTGAGATATGCGGATTTTTGCGCCCTTTTTCATACGTCGACGGCCATCAAATTTTATGCTTGGCTTTTCCTGCCATTTTATATATTCCGGTTTCTTTCGAAGACCCGGCAGAAATGCGTCTCGCTCTCCTGATTTGCCTATGCGCTATCGTATCCCTAGGCGTGCAGGCGGTAGGTTCTTTCGCATTTTTAGACTTTTAGACTCTTCAAACTTTTTCTTAGGATTTAATTTCGTCAAATATAAATAGTGGCGGCGTTTCTCAATGATTTTTTACTAGTCCTAAACGTGACAACTTTACAAAATTGTATTAAAAAACATCAAAAATATCGATCTTTCGACTGAAACCGGCCGATTTTTGGACCGAAATCATGACTTTTTAAAGTTTTCAGATGGCCTTTTTAGTTGAAAGCCGGTGATATATAACTAAAAACCCTATTAAAACACTTTCCCTTAAATTTACAAGACATTTCTAGACCCAGCAAAAAAGTTCGCTCGCCCCGATAATGCGAAAGAACCGGCTAGTTCGCCTTACTTTTTCAGAGCTACCCATTAAAACGGTCGGTTGGATGTCGCCATACCAAGGAACCTCCGCGGCAAGCTACACAACATGAGCTGAAGGCCGACGACTCGGGCAAGGTGTGTGAAAATCATCTTCAATGCCCTCCAGGAGAGGAGTGCCTCCCGGTCGTTTCCCAGCCCGGCAGCTTCTGCCGAAGGGCCGGAAGCGGTTAGAAAAGTGAAATTTCTCACCATGCCAAGAATAAATGAATCTGAATGATTTCGTTTCATGAAATAGCCGCGTAAATAGCGCGGTTAGATTCAGCACGTAAGGGCTTTCAAAATTAAAATTCATTGAAGAATCTAACCTTTCCGGGTAGATTAAGCAGCTTCTTAGCATCTCAGAACAGGTTTCAGATCGACGATTTGACATTCCAGCGCAAAGTTACAGCGTTTTACGATTTTTGAGCTGCCCCGAAAGACATAAGCCGGCTTAGCGGACTTAGCTTTTATTAAATCGGCTTATAAGGGGTGCCATTCGATCCGGCTCGTCAAGGGCTTCCAAACGAGCTATCAATCGTCGCCGTCGCATCACGGAGCGGCCGAAGCCTAAGCTAAGCCTAAGCGGGCACCAACTCAAAAACTACCAAAAACACCCCAATCACGGTTTGACCAGTTCCCGCTGTCGTAGCGCCTTCAAATTACTAGGGGTGCTTTCTGAGCTTTCTAGTAGCCTAGATGCAAAAAATTGGAGCTCTAGCGCGCTTCCGCGCGATTTTCGCAAGTCCGGGTGGCCAAGCCCGAGGTCCGATTCGACCACCCGGGAAAAGTCGATACCCTTAGAATTAAGTTTCCGGTTTTCAAATTTTTAGGGTAGATTAAGCAGCTTCTTAGCATCTCAGAACAGGTTTCAGATCGACGATTTGACATTCCAGCGCAAAGTTACAGCGTTTTGCGATTTTTGAGCTGCCCCGAAAGACATAAGCCGGCTTAGCGGACTTAGCTTTTATTAAATCGGCTTATAAGGGGTGCCATTCGATCCGGCTCGTCAAGGGCTTCCAAACGAGCTATCAATCGTCGCCGTCGCATCACGGAGCGGCCGAAGCCTAAGCTAAGCCTAGGCGGGCACCAACTCAAAAACTACGAAAAACACCCCAATCACGGTTTGACCAGTTCCCGCTGTCGTAGCGCCTTCAAATTACTAGGGGTGCTTTCTGAGCCTTCTAGTAGCCTAGATGCAAAAAATTGGAGCTCTAGCGCGCTTCCGCGCGATTTTCGCAATTCCGGGTGGCCAAGCCCGAGGTCCGATTCGACCACCCGGGAAAAGTCGATACCCTTAGAATTAAGTTTCCGGTTTTCAAATTTTTAGGGTAGATTAAGCAGCTTCTTAGCATCTCAGAACAGGTTTCAGATCGACGATTTGACATTCCAGCGCAAAGTTACAGCGTTTTGCGATTTTTGAGCTGCCCCGAAAGACATAAGCCGGCTTAGCGGACTTAGCTTTTATTAAATCGGCTTATAAGGGGTGCCTTTCGATCCGGCTCGTCAAGGGCTTCCAAACGAGCTATCAATCGTCGCCGTCGCATCACGGAGCGGCCGAAGCCTAAGCTAAGCCTAGGCGGGCACCAACTCAAAAACTACGAAAAACACCCCAATCACGGTTTGACCAGTTCCCGCTGTCGTAGCGCCTTCAAATTACTAGGGGTGCTTTCTGAGCTTCTAGTAGCCTAGATGCAAAAAATTGGAGCTCTAGCGCGCTTCCGCGCGATTTTCGCAATTCCGGGTGGCCAAGCCCGAGGTCCGATTCGACCACCCGGGAAAAGTCGATACCCTTAGAATTAAGTTTCCGGTTTTCAAATTTTTAGGGTAGATTAAGCAGCTTCTTAGCATCTCAGAACAGGTTTCAGATCGACGATTTGACATTCCAGCGCAAAGTTACAGCGTTTTGCGATTTTTGAGCTGCCCCGAAAGACATAAGCCGGCTTAGCGGACTTAGCTTTTATTAAATCGGCTTATAAGGGGTGCCATTCGATCCGGCTCGTCAAGGGCTTCCAAACGAGCTATCAATCGTCGCCGTCGCATCACGGAGCGGCCGAAGCCTAAGCTAAGCCTAAGCGGGCACCAACTCAAAAACTACGAAAAACACCCCAATCACGGTTTGACCAGTTCCCGCTGTCGTAGCGCCTTCAAATTACTAGGGGTGCTTTCTGAGCTTTCTAGTAGCCTAGATGCAAAAAATTGGAGCTCTAGCGCGCTTCCGCGCGATTTTCGCAATTCCGGGTGGCCAAGCCCGAGGTCCGATTCGACCACCCGGGAAAAGTCGATACCCTTAGAATTAAGTTTCCGGTTTTCAAATTTTTAGGGTAGATTAAGCAGCTTCTTAGCATCTCAGAACAGGTTTCAGATCGACGATTTGACATTCCAGCGCAAAGTTACAGCGTTTTGCGATTTTTGAGCTGCCCCGAAAGACATAAGCCGGCTTAGCGGACTTAGCTTTTATTAAATCGGCTTATAAGGGGTGCCATTCGATCCGGCTCGTCAAGGGCTTCCAAACGAGCTATCAATCGTCGCCGTCGCATCACGGAGCGGCCGAAGCCTAAGCTAAGCCTAAGCGGGCACCAACTCAAAAACTACGAAAAACACCCCAATCACGGTTTGACCAGTTCCCGCTGTCGTAGCGCCTTCAAATTACTAGGGGTGCTTTCTGAGCTTTCTAGTAGCCTAGATGCAAAAAATTGGAGCTCTAGCGCGCTTCCGCGCGATTTTCGCAATTCCGGGTGGCCAAGCCCGAGGTCCGATTCGACCACCCGGGAAAAGTCGATACCCTTAGAATTAAGTTTCCGGTTTTCAAATTTTTAGGGTAGATTAAGCAGCTTCTTAGCATCTCAGAACAGGTTTCAGATCGACGATTTGACATTCCAGCGCAAAGTTACAGCGTTTTGCGATTTTTGAGCTGCCCCGAAAGACATAAGCCGGCTTAGCGGACTTAGCTTTTATTAAATCGGCTTATAAGGGGTGCCATTCGATCCGGCTCGTCAAGGGCTTCCAAACGAGCTATCAATCGTCGCCGTCGCATCACGGAGCGGCCGAAGCCTAAGCTAAGCCTAGGCGGGCACCAACTCAAAAACTACGAAAAACACCCCAATCACGGTTTGACCAGTTCCCGCTGTCGTAGCGCCTTCAAATTACTAGGGGTGCTTTCTGAGCTTTCTAGTAGCCTAGATGCAAAAAATTGGAGCTCTAGCGCGCTTCCGCGCGATTTTCGCAATTCCGGGTGGCCAAGCCCGAGGTCCGATTCGACCACCCGGGAAAAGTCGATACCCTTAGAATTAAGTTTCCGGTTTTCAAATTTTTAGGGTAGATTAAGCAGCTTCTTAGCATCTCAGAACAGGTTTCAGATCGACGATTTGACATTCCAGCGCAAAGTTACAGCGTTTTGCGATTTTTGAGCTGCCCCGAAAGACATAAGCCGGCTTAGCGGACTTAGCTTTTATTAAATCGGCTTATAAGGGGTGCCATTCGATCCGGCTCGTCAAGGGCTTCCAAACGAGCTATCAATCGTCGCCGTCGCATCACGGAGCGGCCGAAGCCTAAGCTAAGCCTAGGCGGGCACCAACTCAAAAACTACGAAAAACACCCCAATCACGGTTTGACCAGTTCCCGCTGTCGTAGCGCCTTCAAATTACTAGGGGTGCTTTTGAGCTTTCTAGTAGCCTAGATGCAAAAAATTGGAGCTCTAGCGCGCTTCCGCGCGATTTTCGCAATTCCGGGTGGCCAAGCCCGAGGTCCGATTCGACCACCCGGGAAAAGTCGATACCCTTAGAATTAAGTTTCCGGTTTTCAAATTTTTAGGGTAGATTAAGCAGCTTCTTAGCATCTCAGAACAGGTTTCAGATCGACGATTTGACATTCCAGCGCAAAGTTACAGCGTTTTGCGATTTTTGAGCTGCCCCGAAAGACATAAGCCGGCTTAGCGGACTTAGCTTTTATTAAATCGGCTTATAAGGGGTGCCATTCGATCCGGCTCGTCAAGGGCTTCCAAACGAGCTATCAATCGTCGCCGTCGCATCACGGAGCGGCCGAAGCCTAAGCTAAGCCTAAGCGGGCACCAACTCAAAAACTACGAAAAACACCCCAATCACGGTTTGACCAGTTCCCGCTGTCGTAGCGCCTTCAAATTACTAGGGGTGCTTTCTGAGCTTTCTAGTAGCCTAGATGCAAAAAATTGGAGCTCTAGCGCGCTTCCGCGCGATTTTCGCAATTCCGGGTGGCCAAGCCCGAGGTCCGATTCGACCACCCGGGAAAAGTCGATACCCTTAGAATTAAGTTTCCGGTTTTCAAATTTTTAGGGTAGATTAAGCAGCTTCTTAGCATCTCAGAACAGGTTTCAGATCGACGATTTGACATTCCAGCGCAAAGTTACAGCGTTTTGCGATTTTTGAGCTGCCCCGAAAGACATAAGCCGGCTTAGCGGACTTAGCTTTTATTAAATCGGCTTATAAGGGGTGCCATTCGATCCGGCTCGTCAAGGGCTTCCAAACGAGCTATCAATCGTCGCCGTCGCATCACGGAGCGGCCGAAGCCTAAGCTAAGCCTAGGCGGGCACCAACTCAAAAACTACGAAAAACACCCCAATCACGGTTTGACCAGTTCCCGCTGTCGTAGCGCCTTCAAATTACTAGGGGTGCTTTCTGAGCTTTCTAGTAGCCTAGATGCAAAAAATTGGAGCTCTAGCGCGCTTCCGCGCGATTTTCGCAATTCCGGGTGGCCAAGCCCGAGGTCCGATTCGACCACCCGGGAAAAGTCGATACCCTTAGAATTAAGTTTCCGGTTTTCAAATTTTTAGGGTAGATTAAGCAGCTTCTTAGCATCTCAGAACAGGTTTCAGATCGACGATTTGACATTCCAGCGCAAAGTTACAGCGTTTTGCGATTTTTGAGCTGCCCCGAAAGACATAAGCCGGCTTAGCGGACTTAGCTTTTATTAAATCGGCTTATAAGGGGTGCCATTCGATCCGGCTCGTCAAGGGCTTCCAAACGAGCTATCAATCGTCGCCGTCGCATCACGGAGCGGCCGAAGCCTAAGCTAAGCCTAGGCGGGCACCAACTCAAAAACTACGAAAAACACCCCAATCACGG